AATGAAGGTAATGTAGTCACAGGTATTTGACGAGGAAAAGAGACTAAACTGAGAAACATGCATTGGCATGGAAACTTTGCACTATCCTTGGATCCCTAGTTTCCATGCCAAAAATGTAATAATAAGAAGAATTTCTTTCGTGCAATTGTAAGAATATTTTCATGATTTGAAAGATGGAATTTTCCATTGAACGAGCCCAAAATTTGTTTTATGTCACACCAAAGAAGATAATAAGTTAAGGTGAGAAAACCATATACGACAGCAAGTTGGGGGAAGAACACTCGAAAAGTCAGCTTTATTGTCCTAACGACACAATTTCAGAGCACTTATTTTTTACTGACAAAAACCAGAGCCTTTCAGTTTATGTAGATACAATAAGCCCGATATTTCAATCCATAAAGACCTCGCGCTTGAATAATAAGAAGTTATCAATGCAATGAAAAGTTTGCATGTAACCCATTAGGTCTTATTATGATCGATTCTACACTAGAGAATTCCAGCTTGCATGCAAATTAACTCATTTCAGATGTTGTGATGATGGAATAGCCAATAAAACTTAACCATTTCAGGTGATTTGAAATGGGTTAATTTACATACAAGCTGAAAAGGTCTTTTTACTGATTATTGATATTATTCATTGAGGTTTCAGACGTTCTCAATTTTGTGAAACTTTCCGTTCAAATTTCATACTTGTCTCACCACCTGGCATTCGGGATGTAGCTAGACTGCAAAATTCATGGTGGAGAGAGGAAGGGGCTTGATTCACACCGTAGGCGTAGGGATAATCGCATCAAGTCGGGTATCAGACGAATATATGCATGGCTATATATATAGCCCCTCAAAAAAGCTCAGTTCTAGAGAAACTTTGCATTTTCATAATTTTTGGGTAAGCTGAATTGCCATTCTTTCTCGTGCAGTATGATTATCAGTAGCGTAGCCAGTCATTGACTGTGAAAACAATAAATTTCTAAAGACATGAATCATTAAAATAACTTGAAATTTACATAGCGGGACAAAATCGTCAGGCTGGCTACGCCACTAATTATTATTAATTTTTCTAGACATGACACGAAGAAGCATGTCAATTTTCACCTGTCGATAACTGGCCACATGTCGCATTAGAAAAGTCAACTAATATGGTTATTATAGTTCAATGCATGCATGAATTTCCATCGATGTTTGTGCATTCCTAGTTCTTTACCTTGGTAAAATAAAGCCAAACGAAATCATTAAAATTATCAATCGTATTATATAGTATTGAACATGTAAACAACAAAAAGTCTTATTTAAGTAATTGGCGCTACCAGGAAAAACACTAAAAATTGGACGGGTATACATCGTCGAAATTATCCGTGTTTCTAGACAATTTTTATTTATTAATATTATACAATAAAACTCACCGTCTTTGGAACCATATATATGTATACAAAAGTCGTTAATTCTTCATTAATTTCAAACCTTTGCAGATTTAGAAAATATCACACGAGACTCGAGATCAAGAGACAATTATAACAATTCAAAATCTTTTGAGCTGGTTTCTTACGTGTAAAACACGTCAATCGACTGGTCGTCTGTATCAAAATTTGTGTACGAAAATGCTTGTTTCATAAGCTTTTACAAGATAGTACGAAACGCTTTAAAACAGCTGCTTATGAGCAATAATCAGGGATGGAAGGATGTTCTTAAAGAACGAAGCTATGTTATTGGTTGAAATAGAAATATATTGTAATGTTCAGCCAGTGAAAATCATTCTTGCGAGGAGCTGCGACACCACCCATTATTTAGTGACGCACTCGGAAGAATAATTATTTGCAAGACAACGTGGCAGCTGATTTGTCTTATGGTTTTTTCTTTTGCTAAGCGGCTTCGGTGTCGTAGGTTTTTCGGCCGAATGCATGATTGAGCAATTATTGAATCTTGTTCATTGAAGACAAAATTTGATATACCTATCGAGCTGAAATCTATTCAGAACTTGTGCTTGGCAACCATTGCTATAGCAACAGAGAGGTTTCAAAATGGCCGTCAATTATTGTTAATTAAGGTAGTCTTTTAGAAAAAAGCCACGGTTTATTCTGTTTTTAAAATTTCGAATGTGCAAACCTGAATGTCTCCCTAATCATACCTGAATATTTTTTCTCAAAAAATATATAAAGAATGGGAAAATTAAACGAAAAGTAATATCAATTAGGGTTTTACCCCGAGCAAACAAAAGGAGTCCATTGGCTTATTCCATCGTTTCATTCTATTGTATTGAGTTCTCTATAATTAATGAATATATGCAAAAAAATTCTAGTCAAACCTATTTTTTACCGTTTATACGAAATCTTCAATTTTCCACCATTGGGTTTGACTAGTATGGGTGGTGGAAGGCTCTTACAAGTCTATTTTCACTCAGAGCAACTTGGCAAGCAAAATCGCGTGAAAAGATTTTTATATTTTTCAAAATAAAAGAAAAATATTTTGTGTATAAGACCACCTTAAATCGAGTTTATATTGCAAACTAGCAAGTTCGGTGATCCCCATTTTTTTTATCAAGATTTTGTACCATAGATCAAGATGATTTGTTAATAGTTAGGTTTAAAAAAAATTCTGTGTGGTGCGAATTTTTCTATTGCAAAAAACGTTATTTTTTTTAAAACTTCACTCTCGATGAAGCATCTATTTTGTAAAATTTTGATGGAAAAGAAATTGGGGTCACCGAACTCTTTGCGATGTAAATTCCATTGAATTCTATTTAACGGCCATTTTGAAACGTCTCTGTGGCTATATAGCGACGGGTGGCAAGCACAAGTTCTAAATAGATTTCGGCACTAGGAATGTTGCCAGAAAGTTATATTTATAAAATTCAAGATTTCTTGTCAAACGTTTAGATGCTGAATATCCCTGTTCAAAATGTGAGAAATGTAGGGAGCCACCTTAACATGAATAATTTAAGAATATGGGCCTCCTAATTATCGATGCTGCCTGTGCCACTGGGAGTTTTTAATCTCGCTAATACGAAATAGAGCTGCAGAAAAAATGTTCAACGAACTTTTACTTTTTCGTACGAATTGAACGAGATCCTATTTTCCTTGTAGTATATAAATTATACTGTCTTTGAAACAGAATATACGGTCGCACTGTACATTAGCTACAGCTGTCAGGTTAGGTGTCGAAAATATTACCATGTATATTACAGCGCTAGCAATAACCTATAGCATGTATATTGCTCTGGACTTTGAAGCTATATATTTAACTTCTCAGTTAAAGTCTTTGCTGAAATTTCCTTAAATGGCCGCCTTGCATGAAACCGACTCAAAATTGATAATGTTTGGAAACTGTGTTATAAATTCCGATCACTTTTTTCATTAAATTTGCCTTACGCTAGACCATAGAAGCCCAGAAAAATGAATAGTAAAACGGCACGTCGACTGCTAAATGCCTACCGTAGGTTTAAGTAGAATAATCAAATTATACTTTCATAATAAAAATAATGCTGAATTAAAAGGAAAGTGCTGGAAAAACGTGCACAAATTTTGTAAATTGGTCGACATTTTCGTGAATACATGCGGCATGTAAGTACCTACCCAAAATGGCGGCCGGCAGAAGAATCTGATTGGTCGAGAAAAGTAAACAAAGTATGATCGACCAATCAGATTGGTCGAGAAGGGTAAACAAAGAATGATCCACAACGAGGTTTCGCAATTCGCACAAAATAAGTAAACTTCCCAAAAAATCCGGGAAGGGATTGTTTCAAAGCGGGCTCATAATTCACCCTAGTCAGTGGTAACTACCATGGCCATTTAGGACCATGTGTCGTCAACAGAGCTTCTGCCCACTGCGCAGAAGGCGAAGTCCGCCATGTTTTTTGCTTCAAAAAGACGGCGGTGACGTAACTGAAATTCGAGGAGCACTCCCTCCAGGAATTATAATAATATTATAGCTCAGTGTCCATGACATAGAATTTGGACAAATTTGGATTCCGCTATGTTCTTCTGGGTTCCGGGTGTACTTCCTAATCTCCGAGCGGAATTAATACCTTTGCAGCGCTCTGCACCCGCTCAGGGACTAGTTCGATCCTAACATATGTACGTCTGGCCGTCGCATTTTCAAAGTAGCGTTACTGTAATCACAAACGTTATCACAATTAGCATAAATTGACTTTAATTTACTTTTATAGGCGGGACTATTTTGTCAATTGTATAATATGACATAGCGCGTTTAACACAAAAGGATTAGTATAATCCGCACAAAACGCAATTGTTTGGTTTAGATATGTAATTAATATTACTGTTGATATTCCTCGGTAGTACATGCAGGTAGCTCTATACTAAATTGTTTCTTTGTATAATTTATTTGTTTATAGTTTACGTAAATTACATGAAAGTTGATATCATTTGATCTTTGCTTTGGAATCTTGTTGTTCTTCTATCGCGTAATTTTCAGTAAAATAAGACCAAAATGGTCAAACAATCGTGGCCGCTACAGTTACAAATTCGTAGGATTGTATCACTTGTGTTAAAGTAAATCTCTGCCAAAACGAATTGGAAAAAAGCTTACAATATTTCAATTTGTAGGTATTCTTCTATAGTTGTTGCAGAGATCAAAAGATGGTTTAAACTTCACATTATACGTGAACTCTTAACAAAAATACTCTTAACTACATTTTGCGTACTTAAATTGCAGTTAACTCAGAAATTCTGATAGTTGAAAAAGTTAATTGGCAGTTAAATCTGATTTGTCATTTCAGTCACCAACTACTAAAAAAATTGATTCATACTAAAAGGCATTAAATGGCAAATGGATACGATTTTCGAAAACTCCAGGCACGTTCAATGCCTTTACAGACGGGAAAATACATTAAATGAAGCGATGAACCTCAAATTCTGTAAAATTGCCGTTTGGCTTCCCAGAAAGTCTGCTGTCTGCTGTAACTTGAAGTGGAATGATTGCGATTATTAATACCATGTTATAGCATATACGTACAATGATAATCATAATACAAAAGACTAAATCCCAACGTTTCTATTAAACCAGTGGCGGATCTATGTTAGATTTGTTAGAATAAAATACACAGCTAAACTTAAACAACGCTATTCGCTATGGATTTCAAAATAACTTTTTTTTATTCTGACTACCCCTATATTTCCGCCACTGTATCAAACATGCTCAATTCAACTATGATGCTACTGCACATATATGTATCCGGAAACTGGGGTACTCATGTAAGTTTGCCCACAGTCATAAATATTACCACAGGCAATATTTCTAATTTGGTTCTTGCACCCAAATTAAATACGTTACAACGAAGTACTCATCAACTTGAATGAATTTCCTAAAATTGCGATGCTAGTGCACAAGTATATATCCAAACACTGGTTTATTGATATAGTAACCAGCGCACCTGTATAAAGTGCCACATGCCATATCTTCTATCTTGCCATCGCATCCACGTACTGAAGCACCAAAACCAATGCAAGAGTTGCACGACTTACAGTCGTTGTTATTGTTAGCCACCAGCCCTATACGCAAATACGTCTGCTGTCCTCCGTCAATGTTGAACCCCTCTTTGTTACAGTTGTTCTGTAATTCCGAGTCAGTGATGAGTGATTTCCATTGATTTTTCCCCACTTTTGTTTCGGTAAATTCTCCATTTGCGACCAGTTTGAAAAGCGACTTTGCTGTGTGTTCAACCACAATCCATTTTACACTGTGGCTCTTGTCCTTCATACCAAGGCATATCTTCGTGAATGGCGTGTTCCAGTATGAAGGGAGTTTTGCTTCTTTTTTTGACATTCCCTCGAGTCCATCGTCTTCGTTAAAAACTTTCTTATCACCCCAGTAAGGCGAGTTGTAATGAAATGTGTTCTGTAGGAATTTCCAAAAAATTTCCAATCAATTACGATAATCATCAGCAAATAGGAAAAATAAAATAGTTGAATGTGATAAGAAAATATTTAGCAATCAAATTTTCTGAAAAACTTTTAGCCTCTTTGCTTTTTTCCTATATCAATTCGAAATAAGTCCCATAAGCATCAAGTAGCTACTTCCAATATTGTTATGTTTACCTTTTCGCCATTCACTTTCATAACTAGTGTCCAACCTCCTGCTCCGCATTCAGATATTTCTTCCATGTGACAGTAAACTCTGTACGAAGATCCGTTCATATTTTGCAGTGAATAAATACCGCTCGGTGATGATCTAGGTTGTAAAAAGGCTCTGGTAATGTAAATGAGTTTTAACAAATTTATGATCTGTAACGATCTGACGTAACGATCTAATAACAACTGATCACGTTGATCAAATTTGGCAAATTTCCTCCCAAAAAAGAGGGCTCAGTTTTCCAGCGGTTTTCGCAAAAAAAATTAAAAGCTTTTCGTTTTCACACTGCTCTCAGTTTTATGTAAGTTGTCCGCTGATAAGATTAGTCTGTACAAATATATCGGTGCTCGTATATAATTTATTACTCGTTCTCATCTATCAAAGAAAGAAAATCGCACATGAAATCGCAGGGAAAATCGCCAAGTGTAAACGGGCCTTATGTGCGATTTTATGTGCGATTTTCTCCTTTTCGTAGATGCGAATGTGTGAATTAATTACGGATGTTTAAATAAGGAGACTGATACATTAGAGCATTCAAAGTTTTTGCTTGTTTTCATATTAAACCCGAAGTGCTCTCCAAGGCCAACAGGAAATATTTTGTTCTGTACCTACGCACTCTTAGCTATGGTTTTTACTGAAAATTATCAGTTCAAGTATGTCCAATAGCATGTCTAGGATCCCAAATTATAGCAGCTATTCGTCAGTAGCGTAGCCAGAACGATAATTCGGGGGGGCATATTCATATATTCGTGATACGCAGGATTAATTGCTTTTCAAATCAATTGTCTTTACAGTCTGTTAACATAAATAAAGGCCCCCCCAAATATTGATGCTGGCTACGCCACTGCTATTGGTTGTAGGGTTGCATATGAATATTGTAATGAATAAATAAATTTATTTCTTAACTGTGTAAATGAAGCAATCTGCTTGGCTGAGAAGCGAAAAAAGTAAGCAAAACGACAAAACTAAAGCAAAGTACGAATAAAATGTGTGAAAACCTTCTTGGAAAAGGCTAAAAGACTGTTAAAAAAAAGCACCCGAAAAACTAGTTCTTAGTTTGGATTTTTTACGTCTCCTTTCACCTGTCAATACCTTGCTTTTTTAATCGATTTGCCGTGATTTAGTTGTTATGGTAACAATATTGGCCATTTCATTGGCTGTTTCTTGACCAGGATATCCTTATAAGGAGTTGTTCATGTATTAAAATTCTGAAATTGCATGCAGAATTTATATATTTTTTATGGTTTATTCATTAAATTTGATGTATTTTTTTGTGTTTGATAAAGTCAATAAAGTCAAGGTTAAAAAACTAAACACGTTATTTACCGGTAGCTTCGCTATGTATGCAAAAAAGCTGTGGACTCGGTCTCAAAAATGTCCCTCGGCCTGCGGGCGCGGGCTGTTTTTGAGACCTCGGACACAGTTTTTTTCATCCGGACCTTGCAAACGTTAAGTAATATTAATATATATATATATATATATATATATATATATATATATATATATATATATACACCCATTTGCAAAAACGTTGGCCGCAGATAGATAGATAGATACTCGAAGTCTAATTAGAATTGCATATGATTACATTTGCATAGGATTTCAATCATATTACACAACATATGCAATTTTAATTAGATTTCGGGTATCTATCTATATATCTATTTGCGGCCAACGTTTTTGCAAATGGGTGTATATACATATATATTATAAATAATATATATAATATATAATATATATATATATATATATACAGTTCGTTATCAAAAAGGTTGTCATATGGAAATATATATAAATACGTAAATATCGGTCACGTGATTTTACTACATACGTTAATTTTATGAGAAATCGTTGGAAATCTGTCGTGAAAATTTCTTAAATGTCATAGTAAGGTGAACAATATTGTAATAATAAAGAAACAAGTGATAAGTGATCAAAATAAGCCATGTTTAATGGTCACGTGATTGATATTTATATATTTATATATATATATATATATATATTATATATATATATATATATATATATATATATATATATATATATATGTATATATTGATCGGGACAACCTTTTTGATAACGACTGTATATATATATATATATATATATATCAAATATGTATTTAGAATCATATATGAGTAGAGTGCTCGATATACCAAAGTATAGAGCTAGTATAAAGATAAAATAAAATAAACTTGGTTTACTTCATAAGATTTTATTCACTACAAACTTGTTTCGTATGACAAGCAACGCTTGCCACACTCATCAGGTGAATTTAAATTCACCTGATGAGTGTGGCAAGCGTTGCTTGTCATACGAAACAAGTTTGTAGTGAATAAAATCTTATGAAGTAAACCAAGTTTATTTTTTATCTTTATATATATTATATATTATATATATTATATATATATATTATATATTATAAATAATATATTATATATATATATATTTATTATATATATATTTATATATATATATATATATATATATATATATATACACCCATTTGCAAAAACGTTGGCCGCAGATAGATTGATAGATAGATACTCGAAATCTAATTAGAAATGCATATGTTGTGTAATATGATTGATATATATATATATATCTTCCCACATGCGATCAGTCCGAAACTCGAAATCTATGTCAAACTCGGTCTACATTCGGTAGCACAATGTGATAAAGTCAGTATGATGTGAACGAAAAAATTATCTCAAACTACACTTGCTGCATGCATTACACTGCATACTTACACATTTTTCTCCAGGATTCCTTTGCAAGACTGTAAAAGCGTTTCAACCACTACAAGAAAATTAAAAATATACGTTAAATTAATAATCTAACAACAATTCAACACTCACTGCATGGAAAAGAATAAATGCAAAGTGTATATAATATAATCTAGCTAATTTTAAATGTTTGCATGTTTACGAATTAGCTCAGACTATGCCCCCGCGGTAAAGTTTTCCAGGATTTTGCATTTTTTTCTTGCAAAAAAAAATTTACAGCATCAATTTACAATAGACGTTGCAGCAAATTTAAAACATATATTAGGCATATTTTTCTCAGGAACAATTTTGAAAACGCTAGCGACGCTCGTGTGCACATAGCCCCGTGGGACAAATTTATTTCAATTTTATAAGTTTTCCCGCTTAATTAAGTGGAAAATGGGCTTTAGTTATCTGCTAAGTTTAATTTGGATCTTCACACCGATCTCTCTTATCAGACAGACAGACGGACAGACAGACAGACAGACAGACAGACAGACAGACAGACAGACAGACAGACAGACAGACAGACAGACAGACAGACAGACAGACAGACAGACAGACAGACAGACGACAGACAGACAGACAGACAGACAGACAGACAGACAGACAGACAGACAGACAGACAGACAGACAGACAGACAGACAGACAGACAGACAGACAGACAGACAGACAGACAGACAGACAGACAGACAGGCAGGCGGGCAGGCGGGCAGGCGGGCAGGCAGGCAGGCAGACAGACAGACAGACAGACAGACAGACAGACAGACAGACAGACAGACAGACAGACAGACAGACAGACAGACAGACAGACAGACAGACAGACAGACAGACAGACAGACAGACAGACAGACAGACAGACAGACAGACAGACAGACAGACAGACAGACAGACAGACAGACAGACAGACAGACGGAATTTTCAACTCGAAACTAAAGGCAAAACAATGTTTTGGAATAATTCACGCTTCCACATGTCTTACCTGTTTCTTGTGTCGTTGAAGGTTTGGGATTTACCTCAGGATTATCAGCCGCTTCCTACATGAAATAAAAATCAAACAAACATTGAAACGCTTCAATATTATGGGCCGAAATTTATCCATATGTATGCTTTATTCTTCATAGATTTCAGTGGCGTAGCCAGCATCAATAATTGGGGGGCCCATATTCATACACGGTGTCTCAAAAAAAACGAAAACTATTGAAATCACACATAACAATGCAATTGTTAGAGTTTGCATGCCTAGGCACTCTGTTGGGACCCACAGGTGTATAAATGTTTGTCATACGCATTTTTGGACCAGGAACTGGTCCCTAACCGCTGCTAATCTTGTTGTTGTTGTTGTTAGGGGGCGACGCTCTTTAAAAAAACCCTAAGGCTCTTTCATTACTTGTTTGATCGGAATGAAACTTGGCACAATTATTCTAAGCAATATTCCGCATCGATTGACGGAGTTCGAATTTTTACTTTTGACCTTTGAAGCAAGTTACAAGCAATTCTTGATATATTTGCAGCAAATAATATATACATATCATTAATATTCAGCCTATATACAGGGTGTCCCAAAAAAAAGTCCCCCTATTGAAATGAAGCCTTTGTTGATTTGAATGCATGATCAACGCAGTAGTGTGTAAATAGCATAGTTATTAGGTTGAGGCATTCAAATAAAGCGTCTTGCTTTCAATTGGGTTTATCATAATATTAAAGCAATCAGATTCTAACAAAGGCTTGATTTCAATAGAAGGGACTTTTTTTTGGGACACCCTGTATAAGTAAACGGAAACGATTAGAAATACATTGTCCTCTCCATTGTTATAAATACAATGCAGTTCAGAAATTAAACTCGGTTACGCAGTTCCTGGTCCCTATAGTACGATCGTACTTGTTTTGCATGAATTTGATGCACTAAAATTTGCCTGTACGCAAAAATGATATCTATTAACAATATTTACAATTTACAAATATGGATAACAATACGTGCATCTCAAGGACCATGACCTTCGACATGTCCCTTTCCCTAGCAACACAAAGCGTTTTGCATTTTATAAGTTGCATTAAATCTCCACGGCTTGAAATTCGTGAGCACGGCATTCAAATTTTAACAATGAGTGATTTCAATAGTTTTCGGGTTACTACGGCTGGCTACGTTGAGGCCCATGCATATTGAGGCCCTGCATGTTACGCGGTGCAATTTTTTTTGCAACTTGTAATGGAATTCTACTTTTGAGAGACGTAAATTTGGCAACTAGGAAACATTTATATTTATTACACTCCATGGACGTTTCTTGCACTTAGATTTTGAATACTCTAGATACGCTAATTTACATCTCTTAAAAGTGCAATTGCATTGAAATTTGCAAGAAAAATTGCACCGTGTAACATGGCCTTCTATGCTTTTAGACCGAGGACATGTTTCGAAGAACAGTTTGTAAGCCATACCTTCAAAGTGACTGCTTCATAATAATTAACGTTTTTCATTTCTTGAAGTTTTTCAGGATTTTCTGACTTTGTAGCGTTGTTTAGCTCACAATTCATGTCAACATCATATGACTTTTTCCCCTTGTTGAAATTTATCGATTTGCAAGCAGGGTGCTCAGCCAAGCAAATTTGAGCACATTCCAAAGCATTCCTTGCATCATATCGGCGAATTACGTGGCCAACCAACCCGAAATCTGCAAAACGATTACAGATTCAAAGAAAAAGACATTTCCAAAGCATTATTTGCCACTAAAAGTAAAACTCTTTAGTAATCTAGAACGTACAGGTTGATAAATTACTCATAATTATGCAGATTTTCTTGCTATTTAACTTTAGCCTCACAATTAATTATTAACCTCACAATTGATAAAATCTCAAATCCAATTCACTTTAATGTACTAGATGGTCGAAAAATATAGAGAGGGTTAGTAGTGAAAGCAGCATCGTGAATAATTACATCGTAAAACAAATAAACAGTTGTAAAAACAGCAGCATTTCAATATTATTTTTAGCATTCCTTGATCATCGATATATGTACTAGCTAAATATTGGTATCACTTAGCAAAGATACTTCATGGAGCTCGAGTGCATCTGTAAATACAGAGATTGGCTGAGAAATTTCACTGACACCAAAAAAGGGGGATTTCGTTTTAGACCAATCAGCAAGTTTGTTCCCAATTTTTTGACCCGATCGGAATGCATAAATTTTGACTTGTTGAGTCGGTGAAAGGTGGATTATTTACTATTTTACATGAAGTATAAAGATTTAAGCATCCTGATGAAATAATGTGATATTTAAAATATTTTCATAATAATATTGTGATAGTGCTAATCTATTTACCCACTCGGTGGAAAGCAAACCCGCAGCATTTGGTTTGCATGCATGCTATCAATGGTCAAGCTAATTTTTAGATTGTCCGGTCGGTAACTTAGAGTAGCATGGGCATGTTAATTCACATTAATCATAACCACAATCACTCTTTCGTACTATTTTCATGAAATCGAGTAATTAGTATTGTACAGTGGCGGATCTATGGGTAGTCAGAATAAATTACTACAGCTTTAAATCCAATCCTATTGGTATAGATTTTTATTTAAAAATATTCTTTTGAGTCCATAACCAATAACGTTATTATTAAGGTGTTTTGAATTTAAAATTTAGCTGTGTAGTTTATTCTGACCACCCTTGGTCCCTTTCAGGTGTCCAGTTTTCCATGTGCTGAATTAAACCTAATAAACCCCCCAATTATCGCTAATTGTCGTGTAATAAAAAATATTAAAATTTCCTTTTACCATCCATTGATCTTCCTTACACTGTATACAACAGTAATCAGACCGATTCTTGAATATGCATGCCAAAGAGATATTTTACCAGTTAGGAACTAAAAAGCAACGTCTATTACGACCATTTCCTCTGTTAAAACGATTGTTTTAAAAATACATTTTTACCAAGAATTGTTCTTAGATCTAGTAAGTTGTGTCTTGTAAATTTTTTTTTATATTTCATTACTGATATAATTTATTAACCACTTTAATTTAGGTTGAAAAATCAGAGTCTTCAATAATAATAATAATAATAATTGAACTCTTTTTTTTTTAAAAGATTTGTTAATGCATGTATCTTTGCATCAATTCTTCTACCCCGTAAAAATAGGGAAACGTAAAAAAAATCTATCACAAGAACTCACTAAAAGTGATCATGTACAATAAGATTGCAGCCGCACGCGCAACTTCCTGCTTCAGTTATTAAGTCAATTTTAGAAAACACGACGTGACGCCCTCTACGTGACGTTTCAAAACCCGTTTCCCACTAGACAAATTTATTCGCGCGACACAAAGCCATATCTCAAATCCGGTGATGTTATTGGTTTGCGAAAACCGCTTCCTGTATACTTTTTATCTGTTCGCGAGAACAAATTCGCCTACATGTATAGTGCATGGAAAACGCGTTTAAAACGTCGGAAGACGGCGTGGATATAGCGTGATGTCTTACTGAGTGTGTGATTACGCCATATCACGCCATTTTTTCGGCGTCGCGTCATGTTTGCTAAATTTCGCTAGTCTGTATATATATATATATATATATATATATATATATATATATATATATATATATATGTATATATATATATACAGTAGGAAGCAAAAGTTTGAGTCCAGTGACTGTATTTCATTGTTTTAGCAGAATATATTAATTTTCTGCAGAAAACCTTACTGAAAAGTGAACTAGAAAAAAGTAAATAAGTGAACTGAAAAATACATGCTGCACAACAACTATGGGATGTTATGATACACATTTAACGTATGTTAATATGCAAAAATGCATTACATGTCAATGCTTAGTATCCCTCTTTTTTGCTCTTGAAACGGCCTTTATTCTTGCTGGCATAGATTCCATAGGTTTTTTAAGGTCACACGTTGAATACCTTGCCAGCATTCGTCGACCATGCACTTGCCTCAAGTCATCCTGGCTGGTGGGTCTGTGCCTCGCCCTTTTCCGTTTAAAATGGTTTTACACATGCTCCATAGGTTTTAGATCTGGAATTTGAGGTAAAATGCCATGAGAATGAGATCACCAGAACGAGTTTGCTTCTAAAAGATTTCTGGCACATAGGAGATGTGCATGTGTTTAGGGTGATTATCATGTATTTAGACGCGCGATCATCTTTGTGCCAGATGAAATTCCATGTCCTTGAAGAATTTGATAATACTTTCCTTTAATCACGATTCTATTACATCTTTCAATATTGCCAAACCCAGCATGACCAAAGCAGCTAAAAGTTTGCTTGAGTAGGATTTAGTTTCTTCGAATTTCTCCAAGGTTAGTTGCATACCACCTTTTGAAATTCTCACTTCTTCTGCGATCTCACGAGGAAAGAATCCTTCAATACTTAATGCAACTATTTGTCCTTGTGCGCCATCACTTTGCCCTTTTTCGCACCCATCTTGGGCAGTGTAAAGGAATAAGGACTTTATTTTGTTATAATTTAGATCATTAGGACCAATACAATGTGCAATTAATATGGTTTACAGTATTGAAACACTAGCACGCATGTCTTAACTGGAATACGCTGCCAGGATTTAATACTGGAATTCTACAACGACTGGACTCAAACTTTTGCCTCCTACTGTATATATATATATATATATATATATATATATATATATATATATATATATATATATATATATATATATATATATATAGACAGGCCTCCATGTTTTTCTTTAGCACATTGACTAGTACCGGAAAAAATACTCAAAATCAATTGCGTACCTGAAGCTGCCAACCTGAAATTTGCACGGGATGTCATTGCACTGGATGTCATGGTAGTGTCATCACTACAAGTGGTAGTCTGCGTACACAGCAGCAGCAGGTAGAATAACCGAATTCCGTGAATGTTCATGACAGAAATAAGTTGATTATTTTGCCTGTAAATTTATAAAAGAATAAATTGATGCTTCTGTAAAGGTAGATGTTTAATCTTCATTGTAAACTCTCCACCTCTGAAACATATTACATGCTACTGTTCTCCAAAATTCCTTTGTTTCCACAAAACCCTTTGATTTGAAAGAGGGAATTTTCCATTCAAAGAGGTTAAAATTTGTTTTATATCACACCAAAATAGAAATAATTAAGGTTAACTATAAAACACCATATACGACAGCAAGTTGGGGAAGAACACTCGAAAAGTGAGCCTTATTATTCTAACGACACAATTTCAGAGGGCTTATTTTTCACTGACAAAAACCAGAGCCTTTCAGTTTGTGTACATACAATAAGACCTCTGTCCGATATTTCGATCCGTATATGCATGACCTCGCGCTTGATTAATAACAAGTTATCAATACAATGAAAAGCTTGCATGTAATCCATTAGGTCTCATTATGATCGAACTGTTCCTACAATGCACAATTTCAGCTTGCATGCAAATTAACTCATTTCAGATGTTGTGATCATGGAATGGTCAATAAAACTTAACTATTCAGACCATGTCATTTGAAATGGGTTAATTTGTATACAAGCTGAAAAAGTCTATTGAACTATTTATTGATTGATATTATTCATTGATGTTTGAGACGCTCTCGATTTTCCAAAATTTCCGTTCAAATTTCATGCTTATCTCGCCCTCTCGAGGGAGGGAGGGGTTTTTTTCACACCGTAGGCGCAGGAATAATCGCATCAAGTCGGTATCAGACGAATAATTATATGCATGGCTATGGCCCCTGAATAAAACTCAGTTCTAGATAAACTTTGCATTTTCATAATTTTTGGGTAAGCTGAAATGCCATTCTTTCTCGTGCAGTATAATTATTAATTTTTCTTGACATGACACGAAGAAACATGTTAATTTTTACCTGTCAATAACTGCCCACAATTCGCATTAAGCCGGTTTTCCAGTAGCGATATTTTTCGCGCGAAACGACATTTTACTTTTATTCTAAAGCTCTCAACTGCAACCATCTGGAGCAAATTACTCAAATACAAAGGAATAAAGTCGCTTCGCGCGAAAAATATCGCTAGTGGAAAACCGGCTTTAGAAAAGTCAACTAATATGATTATTATAGATCAAAGCATGCATGAATTTCCATCGATGTTTGCGCATTCCTAGTTCTTTACTTTGGTAAACTAAAACGAATTGTAGTAAACGAAATCAATAAAATTATCAGTCGTATTAGTATTATAAACATGTAATAACAAAAAGTCGTATTTAAGTAATCGCCGCTGCCGGGAAAACACTGAAATATGCACGAGTGTACATCGTCGAAATTATCCGTGTTTATAGACAATTTTTATTTATTAATATTATACAATAAAACTCACCGTCTTTGGAACCATATACATCTACACAAAAGTCGACAGTTCTTCGATAATTTCAAACCCGTTTGCAGATTTAGAAAATATCAAACGAGACTCGAGATCAAGAAATAACTATAAAAATTCAAAATCTTGAACTGGTTTCTTAGGTATAAAACACAATCAATCAACTGGTCGTCTGTATCAAAATTTGTGTATTAAAATGTTTGGCTCATAAGCTTTTACAAAATACTACGAAACGCTTTAAAACAGCTGCTTATGAGCAATAATGAGGGATGGAGGGATGTTGTTAAAAAGACATTACAGCTAAATGAATTATTTAGTGACGCACTCGGAAAAATAATTATTTGCAAGACAACACGGAAGCTGATTTGTCTTATGTTTTATTTTTTCTTTAGTGGCTCCGGTGTCTTGGGTTTTTCGGCCGAATGAATGAATGATTGTGGTCGTTATCATCAATTGAATTGAGTAGTTGTCATGTATGAACAAAGAATAGTTCCCTCAAATAAAATGCTGCCCTTAAACGAAAACAGCGCTAGCTGCAGTCTCCAGTGGCGTAACCAGCACGACAAATGGGGGGTCCATATTCATCTATTCATGTTACGTGGAATTAATTCCTTTTCAAATGACTGTCTTTATAGTGTGTTAAGGTGGCTCCCTACAGTTTCTTAAAATTTTTAGATGGACATTTTAAACAGGGATATTAAGCAACTAAATGTTTGACTAGAAGATTAAAATTGAATATACCTACAAAGCTGAAATCTATTCAGAACTTGTGCTTGGCAACCGTTTAACGTTTTCCTTAGCAAATTTGAAATCTCCTTATTTTGGGAAAAGATAACTCAAAAAGTAATAAAGCTAACTTGATAAAATTTTCATGGTAGACTTTGAAGACAATTGGGTCGAAGGTGAACCTAAAAGTGTAGTAATTCGTTCAGTCTAAGTAAAATGCGACTGTTTATTTGAGATATAGATCGATCTTTGGGCAGACGTTTTATATTAATAGCTTCTAAAACATTGAATATTCGTTTTATTTATTTGAGGTTCAGCTCTGAGGCAAAGATATTTAGAACTAAAAAAACGAATTCCGCCGTTTTAGCGTTAAAAGCTAGTTTGTTATCATTTTTACAAAAATCATCAAATTTCCACCATTGGGAGTGACTAGTATGGGTAACTATAGTGATGTAGTATGGGTAACTATAGGATTACAAGTTTCTAAGTTGTTATACAGGGTGTCCCTAAACGAAAGTGATTTACTATAGAAAAATTTCATTTTTCCTACTGATTTGCTGTTAAAAAAATTAATTTATAAATTTTAAACCGGAAGTGAAGTAACGGATATCACGTCAGCTTTCGCCATCATCACGCGTGAGTTACGCGTGCGGATATTTTTCAGTAAACGAAAAGTTTTTTTTCGTAAAAAACGAAATGTTATTGAAACTTCGACTGTAGTGAAATATTTCAACTTAGTCCCTGTCCAGGAATCATGCATTATAGAATTGGAACTTAACTCTCTTAAAGTTTGGTTTGAAAAGGCGTATAAATAAGGCATATGCGTGTCCCAAAAAACCTAATACTATTGAAATCACCCTTAACAATGCAGCGCATAAGCATCCTGTTCGGCCCCAGAACTGTTTAAATGTTTAACATAAGCAATTTTACCCAAGATGACAGTAAATTTTGCTTGTACCCGATACTTATTAACATTTATACTTTACAAATATAGATAACAATATTTAAATATACAACTCAAAACCATAACTTTCGACATGTCCTACTTCACTAGCAAAATGACATAACCACGCCCTTTTAATCGGGCAAAATTACGTTACACCCCCGCCCTCCAAAAAATTTTGATGCAAAGTTACGCCCCTGGCCGCTACATTTAAGGATACGGCTAATAATCTAAGTCTCAGTGTTTCTTCCTCGTTTTTCTTCCTACATTCGCGATGTTACTGGACAAGTATGTATCCGAAAACTGGAATATGCTGATGTTTAATCCAAGGACCACAGCTATATATATTTCCACATGATATCTGTTTAACGAATTTATTGCAGCCAGTTATTGAAGCTCCGAAACCAATGCATGAGTTGCACGTCAGGCAGTCATCTTCATTGTTGGCGACTATTCCGAAGCGCACATACGTCCGAGTTTCTCTACGAATGTTGAAACCCTCTTTGTCACAGTGTGGCTGTAACTTCGAGTCAGATATCAACGATGCCCAATTATTCCTCCCAGCATTTATTCTTGTGAATTCTTCATCGGCAATAACTTCAATTAGAGAATTTGCTTCGTGTTTGATTACGATCCATTTTACACCGGCGCTATCGCTCTTCTCCATTCCAACGCATATCTTTGTGAATTTTGTGTTCCAGTACGAAGCAAGTTTTGTTTCTTTTTTTGTCATTCCTTCAAATCCATGTTCTTCACGAAATGTTTCTTTGTTGGTCCAGTAAGCGGAGTTGTGTGAAAATGTGTCCTTCAAAAAGAAGTAAGAATTTCAAATATAACAGTAACAGCTTCATTTTTGCATTGTTAATATAGCAACAATATTTAAAATACCTATAATTATGAATGTCGAAGGCGAGGTGAATATATGTCGCTAAATAAAAACAGAAGGCATGACGAGATATTTATTCAGTGATGTTTACCGAATAATTGCTTTAGAAAAGTTAGAAAGGTGATTGCTTGTGAATACCAATTTTTTGTAGAAAACACATTTTTTACAAACATGTATGGCAAATTAAGTTCTACGTAATGCATAGTTATTATTATTAAGTTTTATATAATAACGTAAAGAATTCAAGCAATTTCATTGGTCGAGAGCCATGATCTATAAGAGGACAGACGCACGGAATGACGTCACAGCAATTTTCTTGTTTTTAAATTGCAAACAAATGGCGGAATTATTTGAATATTTACCAGAATTTATCCTTGACTGGGCAAATGAAGACCTTGAAGAAGACTTAGTTGAGGCAGTTGACGTTTTTGAGCAACAAGAAAAGAAAAAACCCCGGTTTGCTAACGTCGAAACAAATGACCTTTCGCTAATTCTCGAGCAATCTCAGTCGTCGTTTTTCAGTTTTATTATATAAAACAAATAGATTACAATGAACCGTTGTCTGTTCAGTTATAGATACACGGTATGACGTCATATGTGATAAGAACAAAAAAAGTGGCCACGAGCCGCCGGGGCGAGTAACTATAACTGAACAGACAACGGTTCATTGTAATCTATTTGTTAAATACATCATAGTTTTTTTAGAAATAATTCTAGTCCATTTTTTCGCTTTTTTCTTCTTTCCCGCTTTTTATTTCGCTTTTTTCGCTGGTTTTAGCTACACACGATTCTCAGAAGACTCTCAGATTACAGAAGACTCTCAGACTGTTTCATGCATGTATACTTTGCTGCCTGGACATCAAATTTAAGCAATCACCGTCCAGACATTATAATATTTCGGACAAATATTAACTACTTATTAACCGAGTGCGAGGTCTGTACGAGAAAGTTATTGAGGTTTTTCGTACTGACAGAGCGACGAAGGATTTATTACATAGCTTTGTTAGTTTGCAATTTTTTTCAGGCTTATAGATAAAATTTCGCTGCTAAAATAAAAGTTTCAGGAGTATTTTCCCGTCGTTTTCTGGTGGTGCGCTTGCAGAGTGAAAATTAACAAAACAAAAAAATACTGGAAAAAAATCTTTAGAAAAAAATCAATTAAAATGCTGTAAACAAACAATGTTTGTAAAATTTTCGGAACAGTTCGTCCGACATTTTTACAGTCAAACGACTGTAAACATGCAACTTATAGTTTATTGCTCGGTTTAATTATCGCCGTCAATGTCAATTAATTCGGCAGCACTTGTTTGATTTTATATTATGATGGATCAAAAGATCATCGACATCCAAATTATTGAAATCACCAAAGATAACAACACCTCAGCCCGAAGCCGGATGGGATAGCTTAACGAAATCTAATTTATCGCTATTATAGGATACGAGATCCCTGTTGTACAGCGGTGTCAGGCGGGTTGTATAAAACACAGCAAATTAGCCCAGCTAATTGTCTTGGGAGATGATAAGGGCGTAGAGAGACCGACGTGCACTTAAAAGCCTCATTCTCCAGGTCATGTTTCCTTTAACATATGGTATATCGGTAGAGACGAAGCCAGATACACCACCACTGTAAGACCTGTGGTTTCGAGGATAGACCCATTTATGGATATTATTTGGTTATTAATTTCATCTGTAAGCAACGTCTCAGTATTAGCAACCAACTCCAGCGACTTCATATTTAAAGGAACTGACAACTCATCAATTTTAGGTGACAGTAAGCGCGCATTTCTAAGATAGAAACCTTGTAACTTTACGGGAGGAAATGTTTCTTCACTTGATATAACATGGTGACCTTGCTCTGTTCCTGAGCGGGTTTTCGTTCCTCTTTCAGCAAGCCAAACTAACATTTCACGATTGTCCTCTGGGTCTTTTTGTAGTTCTACGTCGCCCAAGCATAACTTTCAACTTTCATCTCTTGCACGAAAACCAACGTGTAAAAAACCAGCACAAAGTTCTTTGCAACGCGCTTGGACAGCTATCACCAATTTCGCCCGAGACAAATACAGTGTTCTCGTCGTCTCTCACACGTAAGTGCTCTCGTTGTTTGTGGTTTGCATTCTGTTCCTTGTTTTACAAGATTTTTTCTTTTCGCAGCTAAAACTTGTCCCGAATTCTCGAATTCACCGTCCTTTAAAATATTTGTCATTTTCTTCCATATCATTTTCAGGTATCAAGTATCGTTGTAAACTTCTCTGAAAACTTGACAGTGTAGACGGCTCGTATACGTCGCCATTTGATTTACGGACATTGATGAAAAATTTGAAAAATAAGTGGTCAAGTTCTGCTTTCAGTAAGTACTCAATTTGTTTTTCACCTTTGTTAATGGTCTCCAAATAACGTTAGAAAACCCTCGTGTCGCTTTTCGTTTTCGATATCGTGGTTTTCGCTTTCTGGTGGTGTATAAATTCTTCAATTTCTTCTTGGCTGTTTTTGTTGCTGTTTTATTCAGCGTTGATATCTTCAGCTTCAAACTTGGCATTTGGGTCATTTATTTCCACAGGATAGTAAAACTCTCCCAACCCGCAGAGTGCTCCTCGTCGTCATTGTACGGCATATGGCTTTTATTCGTTTCTTTTTCCAAAATTTGATTTCTATAATTAATGTTTTCACGAGCGGAGAATATGTGTGTATAAAAATTCCACAGTGGCGTACGGGAGACGATAATTGGGTGGGGCAAATATTCATATACTCATGTTAACAGACCTGAAAGGCACAACATGAATACAATCTCCCCCCCCCCCAAATTGTCGTCTCCCGTACGCAACTGCTCTTCCAGACCGATAATCAACCAATCAGCGCGCGACATTTACCTCAGGCATGCATATAATAAATTGTTATATTTACCTTTTCGCCATCCACTTTCAAAACTAGTGTCCAAGCTCCTTTTCCACATTCAGATATTTCGGCCATGTGACAGTAAACTCTGTACGAAGACCCACTCGTAGTTCGCAGTGAATAAATACCGCTTGGCGATGACCTTGGTTGTAAAAAGGCTCGGATCATGGCTACGGAAATACTGTGTTTACTATTCCACGAAATTATTTTTACGTAAAAATATTTGATTGCATGTAAAAGTGGTGTTGTGAACTAAGAATTTAATAATACACATACAAATATTCAGAAATTTAGGAAATATCTTATCAGATATTAATTATATAATGAATTTTGGTTTAAAACCTTTAATTTTGCAAGTTCGTGTGAATCATTAATGTCTGAAATCTTAAATTTATTCCACGCATTATTATTGCGAACGATATTCGAAAGGCAGTTCCTTTGTAGGACGCGATCTACCTTCAATAGCCCAAAGTCAGGCATGATTTGATGTAAATTTATCTCAAACTGTCTCTGGAAATCTGATACCAAAGATACTTACCCATTTTTCTCTAGGATTTCATTGCATGAACGTGAAGAGTTTTGAACCACTGTACACCAATGGAATATAAAAAAAATATATGCAAAGTGCATAAAATTATTTGGGCACATTTGATATCGTTTATCGTTTGGAATTCTGCGATGCAGCTCTATATAATTATAACAATGATTTTACATTTAGAAATTAAAAAAAATTCAGCGACCTTTTAGATCTTATATATATATATATATATATATATATATATATATATATATATATATATATATATATATACATATATATATTTACAGAGATAAAATATATATATATATATATATATATATATAAATACTGAGATAGTATATATATATATGTATATATAATATTATATATACAGTCGTTATCAAAAAGGTTGTCATATTGAAATATATATATAAATACGTAAATATCAGTCACGTGATTTTACTGCATACGTTAATTTTATTGGAAATCCGTGAAAATCTTTGTTAAAAATTTCATAAATATAATAGTAAGGTTAACAAAATTGATAATAATAAAAAAACAAGACAAAAATGAGCTAAATAAACAATGTTTAATGCTCACGTGATTGATATTTATATATTTGTATATATATTGATAGGGACAACCTTTTTGATAACGACTGTATATATATATATAGATAACGACTATATATATAGATAACGACTGTATCTAAAATGACCCCCTTTTGATGTAACTCTTGTTCCTAGACATTGTTTTTTCCTTCTCCCACGTTTTCCCCCCGCCAACTTCTTTGCATTGGTTACCCGGACTTTTATCAGTGCAACAAGAACTTGTTCAATTGCAGTGATGAAGGCCTGGTTTAACAATGGAAATCTGCCTCCATGTGGAAAGCAAAGCTTGAAGAAACACTTTCGCGATTTGACCGAATGTATGCTTTCTACACGTCTTACCTGTTTCGAGTGTTTTTTCCGTTGCCGAAGGCTTAGGATTTGATTGGAAATGATCAGCAACTTTCTGTGAAAAGAAAATGAGTTCATTCTTTTTAGATTATTTGCCTAACTTGAGATAAATTTGATCAGGCCATTTTTTGATGAATTTTAAATTATTTAAGAATGCAGCGGTTAGCTAATGGTATTTCAAATGCAGGATTGATTTTTTTGCTTTTTATATAATTCCTAATCATTTAGAGAAGGTTTTTACAAAACAGTATATGTTGTTGGATGTAAGAATCAAATCAATCTGAACCGCCGCAAGATATACAAGTTAACTGTCAGGAGGATAGATGGCATTTTCGAAAAATATTTCTTCTTGACACACTTAATCTCGTTGTGTTGGGTAATCAAAATCGTTATAGGCCGGAGCTTTACTATGCAGTGACAACGAGTGCGTCTATAAGTGTACATGATTCGTCATTTTCGCGTGTTGTTTGCTCACGCCATCAGCCAAAACTGGTATTACATATCATTATTCATTAGATAAAGTAATCGTCTGCTGACTGGCAGAAAATCGCCCGCCGTTTTACAGCGGTATCGTGCACAAGCGCTGGAAATTCGCGAGCTTGTCTTCACATATACATAATAAAATTTAGAATGGCTAATGGCTACAAGCACGATTGCTCATTTCACATCAGTTTCAAGGCAGGAAATGGAAAAATTAATCGCTAATAAAGATTCGAAAAACCGGAAGAAGTCTACAAAATACCATTAATTTTTTGAAAATTGAATGTAATTATTCGGTCAATGTTAGGGTTAGGGTTGTTAGGGTTAGCTAGGGTAAGGGGGGATTACCTCAGCCTTCGGCTTCGGCAGATAACATTGACCTCAACCTGAATTATTCTGGATATCCTGCTCAGCTTCATCCAATATTTTTTTATTATCAGAAGTGTAACTGGAGATTCTTTTCAGTGTGTCCTCGCGATCGAATTTTCTCAAAATGTGCACGTAATGAACACGCAACGGCACTTGCTGGACTCATAGCTGCAGAGGTTATTCTAAGCCGGAGTTGCTACCACTTTTTGAAATTGTAAGAAAGTTTCTAGATATGGAAATTAGTAATTGGAAATCTTCCATCTCCTGAAATTTTCTTACAATTTCATAAAGTGGTAGCAACTCCAGCTTAGAATAACTCCGGCATCAGTTCTGTATGTGAATATTTTATTACGAATTAATACGAATCTTGTTCTCGCAGTCCTACTCGTAATCACAGCTAAAGCTCCCTAATCACATTCAGAAGTATTTAACGTCAAAAAATTACATTCCTATTATTATACATCCTTACTCTATTGTTTTGGACAATATAGTACTCATAACTCTCGTTCTTCTTTAAATTCTCTTCTTGTTCTTCGACTTTAAGTAGTTCACAATTTAGTTCTCCTTCAGAATTTGAGTATATTTTGTAGTTAACCGATCTACAAGATCTTGTTTTATCCTGTGCACACTCCAGAATGCACTCAATAGCAAAGTTCACATGAACTAGCTTAAGAGAGATCGTGGCATTACTTTCCAAACGGCGATCTGGAAACAGAATAAGAAGTAGCCATAGTTACGCACATATTATAATATAGCTTCTCGCTGTATATGAGCTATTCCGCAATCTGATTGGTCAAGATGCTCACCGTATATCAGCTCATTTACAGTGAGTAGCAAAAACAAAATCCCCGACAGTTCTACTCAGTAATGATGAAAAAGAAATTGAAATACTTTTTGGAGTGATGGGGAAGAAATTATAACATTTTTGAGTGTTTGGCTGCGAGTTGTAAATTACGGAAAATATAGCCATGCGAAGTTCTCGAATATGCCAACTTCGCATGGCTAAATTTTCCGTATTTTGCATTTGCACTCATAATTTAAGTAAGATCTTTCTAGCTTTGATTTATTTTTTTCTAGTTGCTTCGTTCAAAAATTAGTCTAAAGCGCAAGTTGTCGAATATATTTGAAAAATACTTCTTCTTGATACACTTCAATATGTTGAGCTATCAAAATCATCTATAAAGTGCTAATTAGCATACATGCGACAGACATCTTGTTAAATCCTCGTCAACACGTCTGGGTGTAAAACAAAAAATGAGTCATTATAATTTTTCGATTTACAATTAATGCTACTGAATATCAACGCGGGACTGACTTATGGTGACAAGTTGGCTGTCGCTGTGCACTAATTATTAATTTTGCCATTTGCCATATAATCGTTGTCATATACGCAATGGCGTCTGAATGTCGGCTGACGTTATTGCCTTCTTTGGTTGGAAAATTTTGGATTGTATAATTCATAATAAATGTGTACAAGTTGAAATAACTAATTAGTTCTTGCTAACTAAAAGGAAACTCCTTCAGAAAAAGTTTCAAATATATAATTTATATCGTGCGCACTATCAGTTTATTAAATGATTATTAAGGTCACACCTAACAAAAATACGTATTTCTCACTAAAAGATTTAGCTATTAACGTTTTCAGTACGTAGATAGGTATAGTATAAAGCAATATAATTATGTCGATGGGGCCAGGTTGGAAGATTTTTTAATAAATCTTTCACAATCACAGTTTCATTATAAGATGCATAGAGCAAAAAGTATTTGGCGTTCTTCAGCAGCAATGGCTTAGTCACTAGTCAGCTTGACGACTTTGTCTATGTAAATTTGGGTTATAATTATTCACGTGGCTACGCTACTTGCGTAGCTTGAAATGTTGTTGGATAATTCAACACGCAAGACGTTAACTAAAGTCTGAACCGAAAAAGTTGATGTAAAACTAAATTTGAAAGCATATGGACCCGGAAAAAAGCAGGAGAAAAACATTTCTATAATTCTCCTCAATAAATGCACCTTTTTCTCCAAACATATATTCTCTTACTGACTATCTGAATGGGAGTTACCTTAATAAAGAGTATCGTTAAGCACTATAGAGAGAAGATAAAATTCTGTATCACCATTACCGAAACAAGATCTTAAATAACACAATGCACCGACTGTCTGAATAGAAATGCAAAAAAATGTTTACATGCAAAAAAATTCAGAGCACGGAATTTAACCAAAGTAATTGATCATGATCAACAAGACGTTTAAAAGAAGCTGCTTCTAATAATAATCTGACAGTCGGCAAACAGAAGAGTACAGTTAGTTTAAATGTGAAGTCCGTGTATTAAATTGAAGATATATTCAAATGGAAAACGTCAGCAATCTTGTCACTAATTACAGGTAAATGTACCTGTTGTGAAAGAGCATTAACTGTTACCATGGTGAAACCCGCGCCAAGACGTCTTTCAGTTCATCTCAACGTTTCAAAATTAATATTCATATTTAAATAAACATTCTCTGCGAACAATGCATTTGATTGGATCTTTTTAAATCCTGAACCAATTAGAAGCTATGTTAAATAGCTTTTTGTCACCAATAATGTAAAATACAATAAGAGGACTTCTTGCCGAAACGATTTAAATGTTTACGTTCACGCAGCGATAATCTCTTAATTCCATGCTCACAGTGGCGTAGCCAGCCTGACGATTTAGTCATGCTATCCAAACTTTATGTTATTATCATTGTTCATTTCTTTAGAAATTCATTGTTTTCATGTTTTTAAAATATTAGCATAGCATGACTAAATTGTCGGGCTGGCTACGCCACTGCATGCTCATATATTTTGATTATTGGATTTGGTAATTTAAATGTAGTATATAGTGTATTTAAAAATACTCAATAACTTTGAACATAAAACTTTCTTGCTCCGTTCTTCTATATATTTTTCTATTCTGTATGAATGTTTGCATTTTTCATCCGCGGCATTTTATAATGGAAAAAGCATCAATTGGGTTTAGTTCGCTTAAGGCTGGCAATCAATTTCACAGTTATCCTCATTCTATGCATGCAGTAACTCAGCGCATAAGAGCATAATATATCTCACTGACCTTCTTTAGGACCGCCGTAACAAATGTCCGTCACTTTACCATTCGCTTGTGAACTTAACGTTATTATCCAGAAATTCAGGAAAAATATTTTAAGAATACGTCGCGTACTCCTTTTACAGGAAGAGGCGCCAATTTCTTTTGCCATACTTTTCACTATACCAACAGATGTCTTGCCAGTAACGCAAAATCACTATTCCGTTTTACCTCCTAACACTTTGCAAAAATACAAATAGTCAATATTTTTCCCGAAAGAAAACGTTAATTCAAGGCGCAGTTGAACGCTCTCTCGCTGTTCGAGCTGCTTCAACTTTATAAATAATCTAACAAAACATGCTCTTAAATGGCTAACGCTCCCCGTTGGCCAATTAGGACCATGGTTTGTCCTCAAATACGTACGTCACAACGCAGAAATTTAATGGCTCCTAACGTATGTCGGCTGCATGCCATTATGCTATCACGCGTTGACTCGGTCTTGATGCGAATATGTCTCAGAAACCGCGCAATCTTCGCCAAGACAGCTTTATAATACGACTATAGGGTCTGTTTACATGAACCCGTCTAGCCGAGATTCAACAATGTAACTGGGAGGTATTGAAATAATATAAATAATATTCACGGGATGGTAACAGATGTTATAGGCACATTTCAATAACTTAAAATCATCTCTACGCTTCGTTGAACCTCGGCTAAGATCATGGGATAATGTAATTACCAGCCCATGGCTGTGGGTGTAAGACCCATGCATGCCCCGGGCCCAGATGAAAGAACCTAAAATTAAAGCACTATAAAAAATGTTGCATGGGTTCATGGTAATATTCGCACACTAGTCGAAAGTTCGAGTGACAGTCATTGTTATTTTATTTTTTCTAAGATTGTTTGTTTAACTTTTTCACATCGCTTTGAAGTACTTTATGCCTCGCAGATATCTAAAACCATGACGTCATAGGGCTTCGGTGTTTGCCCCGGGCCCCACAATTTCTTTCGGCGGCCCTGTCCACAACTATAAAAGGCAGGCTTTGAAATACTCGTGCATTTCTAGCCGTAAATGCACCAATATAGCGACATTTGGGAAGAATTAATTAAACAAAGGCGTCCAGTGAACTCTATAAAAATATGGAAGGCTTGTTCTAGTACATTGCGTAATCTAAAAGTGAAGCCAAACATGGCGGATCATGAAGGCTGCTTGGGTACCGAACCAGACCTCCACCTTCGAGCGGTTAAAATTTAATATGGCGGCGACGTGCAGGAGTGGAACGCGGTTAGTTTTGTCACAGTTATTAGAATATACATGGTTTGGAGACTAGATGGAAGTACAATACAACTCATTATCTATGTTATTGTCCAGGTTTATGCAAAAAATGGTTCCTTATCCGTCACATGTCTATTGTATTTTAGCCCAACTAACCAATAGCAATGGCTTGGCTTAGCTCCTCAACCGTGACTTAAACAACATGTTAATTCAGACCTTACTATTGGTTTACTTGTTCAAAATACAATAGACACGTGACGAATAAGGAACAATTTTTTGCATAAATGTTCCCCGACATAGATAATGAGTTGTATTGTACTTTTATGAAGTCTCCAAACCATGTATATTCTATTAACTGTGGTTTTATAAACACAACACAAATATACGTGATAACATAAAGATTAACATTGCCATGCAGGTAATTAAGTATGTATTCATTTTAAAAACTTTGTAATGTCCGAAATGTTAGCTCTTTTATTTTTCGTCATAGCTTTTTAATTCGTGTTTTTATTTTCCACGCGCACTTCGGGCATTTTACGCTTCGCGATCGTGGAAGTCTGGTTCGGTACCCAAGCAGCCTTCATGATCCGCCATGTTTGGCTTCACACTTTGAACTGGAGCGATCTTTCCATATATATAGAGTTCACTGGAGGCGTCAGAGCAGAGCCTTCCAAAATATTTCTGTTTTGAGTACTAGTACTCTCGTGCAATCTTTGCTTCAAATGTTGCTATATATATGCTATATAATTATAACCCAATTCCAAGTAAGCGATTGGTTGTTATTATTTATTAATTGATAAGTCGGTAATCAAACATTCACCTTTAACATAAACGACTATAGCTGGGAATTATATAGTATATAATCGTTCTGTCGTAACCATATGGAGTGTGTTAAATTGTTGGTAACTGGTATGAACACCACGTGTATTTATTATATGCAGAGCTTTCAAGGTCGTCAACCCGGCCTTTACCAATGTAATTAATTTTTACTACGTACGCGGTATTCCAGTGGCAACGCCACCAAGTGCATGATTGTTTTTCAAATCATCAAAAGCATCAAATGACCAGATTATTACTGGTTTCTTCACAGTCGTAGCGATTTTCATGTCACGTCCGCGTCGTAGATTTAGTGCATCTTAAGGACGTTTTCCACTTCAATCGTAGAGAAACGTAGCGTATCTCATTGTTTTAAAGTCTTAAGTTCTGGTCGAATATCTCGGAAAGAAGAAATACGCTACGTTACGTTACGTTACGATTGAAGTGGAAAACCGGCCTTAAACTCCGCTAATACCGAAGCAACGATGAAGCAATACCACGCAGAAAATTTGCGTGCCCGTTATTTTTGGTTTGTTTATTACAAGTATTTCGTATAGTCGCACCAATAGTGGATATCGTGGTTTGCACATCGTCTCGACAAGCGGGACTATTAAACGTAAGTTTTTAGTCAGTGTATAGATTCTTTTTTATAACGTGATATTTTTAGCAATTTGCATCTAGAGTGTAACGGCGGTTTGCTTAGAACGCAAAAATAAAACGCAGTTTTCATGCGACAACACTCACGACAGCCAATATTCTCCTTATTAACTTAAGTAGCCAATCTCCATCACTTTCTATATGCGATTGTTTTACAACAGGCTCTTTCATCAATTCAGCAATTGTTTCAGGAAATGGGCAATGTAAAATCGGATAAGCAGCAGTATACACCGAAAGATTCTGTTGGTTATTTAGTCCCCAATTTTGTCCATTGTTATTCCTTAGTTCAGCTACCGCGTCTCTAAGACTTTCTGCTAGTTCACTCTCAGTCACGTTAGGGTTATTTCGACGTTCCGACATGATGAAATCTGGCGTATGGCCGATTGCGTTGTCTATTAGGATCTCTTCTTGAACCAAACGAAAAATAACCTACAAAAATAAATTAAGGAATCATATGATAATAAATATTCTTGCAAGGAGGTGGATGCGGGATTTACTCACATAGAGAGGTTGGAAAATTCCGGAAAAGACATTTTGAAGTGTTCAGAATTACGTATTGTACAGACTTTCATGTTCAAAAAAGGGACATTTTAGCAGCACAACATACAATTTAAACAAACGAGGCAACCCCCCAGCTGTTGCGACTCCTCGAGTGGTATCCCTATGCAGAATGCACCTCCAACTTGAATATTATGCACTGAATAATTATGTACTTGTAAACAGTATCTTTGCATTAAGGTTAAAACATTTAGTTCGCTTGTTACATAAGGCGATAGACTTGCTTCTATTTTAAACTTAGGCTGGAGCTTTGACACAGAGGAGAGATTGTTCATGCATAGAGGCTTAAGTCTTAAAACTTGACAAGGAATTGCGCAAGTAGGGAACTGCGCAACAATATCCTGGAGCCAATCGAGCGGGTTTTTTATTTTTGTTTGTTTTGAGATTCGATCGTATACTCATTTTATCATAGCTCATTTTATCATAGCTCATATTAACGCGAACAAAATGCGACCCATAAACTGGCCCTTCAACTTGGTCTAACGAGTTACCAGTATTACTTCTTTTCACTTGTATACGCGCTGGCGCAAAACCTAAAAATCTCTTCTAAACGCCCATCACATATAATGGCGACAATATTGGTTTTCCAAGCGCTCTTTTAAATACATCTGTCTACCTAAATATTTGTATAGAATTAGTACTCTAAGCTCTTTGCACCGTTGCTCATAGAAAAAAAAATAGAGGAGTACTAATTATTTTCACCATTGAGCTCTATGTAAAAAGTGTATTATTTTCACACTCCTGTTTCATTTCTCGAAATCTAATACGTACACGGAGAATTGAGTACCCTGGAGAAGGTCCGATGGGGCAGTTCAACAAACCAGGATTTTTTTAATCAGGAGTGTGTTTGAATCAAGTGAGTGGAAAAGTAAAAAGCGGGCAGTTAATAAGCATATAAAGTCAATATTACCAGTAAAATATCACTTATTTGTTCCACAGAGGTGTATTGACCACCTGTAACACCCATAAAGTCCCATGGACTCTCTGCATCGGCAGTATTCGGTTGGTTACATCCAATACAGTGTAAAACAATTTCCCTGGGTACCATTTGGTGACATATCTCGGAAAGATCCTGATTGCCTTGGAGATTCCAGTCCCCTTAAAAATGAATACATAAAAAGTGATAAAACAACTTAGCGTTAAGGGCGAGAGTCAACGGGATACCGGAAAAATCTAGTCACTACGTCCCTCATATGGCCATATGGCAAGACCAACCTATTTGACTCGATAGACACTAGGTCATAATTTCGACTTAGTCGCGTCAAGCTTCTTCCCAAGTGTCATTCGTTTATGTCACTGTTGTATCATCAGGTTGGGTAACACCACATCCTACCGTTTCGTGTAGCGCACGTATAGAAATGCCTCTGTCGATTAGACATTAACGATTGTGACTGCATGGAAGTCATTTTGGAGGATTGGAATGCTTGTTCTACAAACCTCAAGATCTTAGACATAAAATATATAGTACGCTTCCAATTTGTTGGCTTTATTCGTTCTGCGGCGCAAGCTATAACGACACGAGGTTAACGACGTTTCTCAGTTGGAAAGGTTCGACAAATCAGATGAATGTATAGGCTTTATTATTAAGGCGCAGTGCATGGCCATGCAGTCAGAAGCATGCTTTCTCCGCAAACTGCGACAATCAATAACGCAGACATTAGATAGACATATAGATGACGTCATTCTCATCTCCAAGTATGCATATTCTGTGTACTCGAACAAAACTAAACGGCTGTACGCATATTTTGTGTACTCGTCAAAACTAAAACGGCGGTACACATATTTTTTATTCTGTGTACTCGTCAAAACTAAACGCCTGTTGTCTGTATGCATATTGTGTGTACTCGATCAAAACTAAACGCCTGTATGGATATCTTATGTAAGTACTCGAACTATTTTTATTGTATACTGGTTCATATTATTATGTTCTTAAAGCCCTGTTATACGTTCCATTTTTTCTTGCAACTTTCAATGCAATTCTACTTCTAAGAGATGTAAATTAGTGAAGAGTCTTGCAGAAGTAAAGTGAACTGTTCCTGTTCCTGGCGTTAATTCCGGCGTGCCGCGCACATGTCAGTCTTCAATATAAAGCTTCTGAACATAAACAATACTGTTCATACTCATTTAGATGCCTTGCGAACCTAAATGTTGTTCGATCGCGAAATTAGGAAGCACATCGTACTTTAAAAAGTATAGAAGTTCAATTGTTCCTAAATAAACCGAATGTTACGTTCACTTTGTCTTACTCTTAGGAATTTGCACTTATATTAAATCTTAAATCCTGTGGCTGTGCAAATTGTGACGTGTTAAGGCGCCCTTACACGACCACATCTTGTTAAACGATTTTAGTAAAATAGGACCAGACTCTATGTGTAATAAATATATTCTTACCCCATTAATCGAACAGCATCAAAAGAACGGTTTATTTGCTCCTCTTGCAGGAATTTCTGTATCATGCGAGCAAAATCAAATCTCGCATCGGAAAATTAGATTTCGAGCGGTGCACCACAACTCTTCGTAAACAAAATTGTGACGTAGATAAATACGATCACATACACTTTTCAAATACTAGTATATTTCACGCCAAAACACACTTGCGATGATGAAAAATATTAATAAAAAAAAATGATGAAAAAACAAAAACAAAACAGAAGCGAATTTTCAACTCTGTAGCTGACGCCGAAGTAATGACTAATGAAGTGTAATAAAAACAAAACTAGTTTCGTTGTTCCCAAATAAACATCTCTCAAAAGTAGAATTGCATCAGTGCAAGTTGCAAGAAAAATTGCACCGTGTAACAGGCCCTTAAAATGGGGATGGGGAATTAATTCCCCGATACCCTATTCCCCTTATTGGCCTTGACATAGCCGTCATTTCAAGCTAACGTTCGCTGTTTTTGACTTTTTGCAGCACCTACCAATTTTTCTGCTTTCATTATAAACTTTCTGCGGCAAAAACACTAGCAAAAACGCTCTTTTAGTTGGAGTAAACGCTTAGCGAGTGTCTCAATCGTTATCATTAAGTAGTCTTAAGGTTATTCCGAGGTTGTGCGTGCATTGCTGTAATAGTCGAAACAAGTCACATCACTCACATGATTGTCGCCAAACCCTGTCCACATTATAGGAAATTTTGAATGGGAAAGAAATACACTAGTACTCACCAATCCAGAAACAAATCTTTGTGGCAGTTGGTCGGAAAGACAAACGAAGAACCTCATTCAAGCCATCAGCCATTGCATCGGACGAGTTAGTACCCCCACAATACATTCTATCGTTAAACCATCCTGAAACAAATTGCAGCAATAAACACATTTCCCATGCAATAATTAATCAAAAGTATGCCGGAATATAATACTAGAACTACAAAGCGGGCTTATACACATTTGAAGGAAATTTCCTTCAAAATGACATGCAACGTACCACAAGGGAGGGATAGATCATAGTTAAATAGGACCCAGTCTTTTTATGAAAGCCCTGTCTCTCTCTTTTGTCAAGGCTATCTTCCTATTTATAGTCATATGTAAATATGTTGTAAAAATCCTGACTAGAAGGGTCCCTTAGTACAAGGACATCAGTACAATTAGGAATGCTATGCAGGGTCTCAGAGTTGAATCCTCAGAGTTGAAGTATTTAGTGGTGATCAAATAATTTTAAACCAAACTATCAATATCTGTAGACGACTGCAAATTAGTATACTAGTTATATAATTATATTATCAACAAATTTATCTTTGTAATTGGTGTCCTGATCTACTAATGCAATGAGATGTGATATAATTAGCTTAAACATTGGCAACCAAACAAAGCTACGCTATATATATATGGTATGAACTAGCCAGTAATAGTTGTTTATTTCGAATATGTTCAGAGACTGCAGAGCACAGGGGTAAGGGCTGCATTCATGGACAATTAAGGTTGTTTAAAGGAATTAAGCCAATCAATCAAATATTGAGTCAGCTGTAATTAAATACATTTAGTACCAATTTAATTAATCAAGTTTTATATGTCCTCACTCACTTGCACTAATTTGGCTGAAGAAATGTGTGGTGCAGATTAATTCACATAAGCGAATGTCATATTTAGTGTCCATTTATATGATTAGTGTCCAGAATATGACTTGATGATCATTGTTATTAAAAAAATCTATCAAATTAAAGATGCATGCTATGTCATGCCAATTAATACTGTAATGAAGGCAGGAAAACATGAAATCAAATGAATTAATATTGAAGATTAAATTAATTGACACCAGCTTTACTAATTCTTGTGACAAAATTTTGAAAGGTGATTTTGTATAGTTTGGACCACCATACCCCTTCCATGAATGGTATTGCTTAGCTGATTGGTGCGCAGGGGGAGTCATGTTTGGGGCAACAACAGCAATTAATTTGCTACTTATAGTCAAATCAACTGTTTTGTTCCTGTAATATTGCAACTTTGCTGCCTAGTGCATGCAGTACTCACTCACCTAGTGGATTTGACTAATTTGTTGATTTCAATATTTTGGTAGGATTAAGAATATTGCCAAATTAATGGTAATAATCGAATTAAATGCTCAAAATTGCAATTTTATTCTAAGAAAATTTTATTCTAAGCCTAAGGAACAGAACTTCACGCTTGTAAGGCAAAAAGAATTCCATATAGATAATTCGAGATTCAACTGAAAGTCTGAACCAAGGTCATGATAAGACAGTGTACCGTGCGAATTTCCTGAAAATCTATAAGATTGAAGACGATAATTGTTGCCTTGATAGGGATCATCACGACCTCGATATCGTACTAACGCAATACGAACATCACTTGAGGCCAATTGTCGTAATCCTTGTGCGATACGACGTAGAATTCCCGCTGCATCGCTGATAATATTTCTCATTGATTCGGTGCAGCCCATAACAAATACTAAATCCACTTGTCCTGGGATGCGTCGGAGTCGTGCAGACATTCTAGTTTATAACTTATAAGGTTCGACTGGATCATGTGTTGATATCAAGACTCACGTATATAGTCTTAAGTCTTCTATTTTTGGACTATTCCATTAAATATCCGCACAACTCCTGTCGAAGGTCCTCTCTTCTCGGGAGCCTGATCAGTCAGATCAGAGCACTGGATCAGAGCTGATCGAAGGCAAAGACCCTGGGTACGAGGTTGATGCGACCGAATATTTCTGGGGGGGGGTGCTATGGTGTGTGCAGTCAACAATGACTCCAATGAGCGATTTGAATACAGAAATAAAGACAAAATTATATTCGGACTATTTCTAACCCTAGAAACGACTTGTTCACAACAGAACGAAAAAATAGTAACCATGCAGGCTTTATGGTGGTCCGCAAAGCAGAAATTTAACCTGCATTACTCCATGCATGCAAAGCAAAAAGAATTTTATATATAGATAAATAATTCGAGGTTCAAACAACTAATTTTGACACAACTGGTTATGCTGTCGGCATGCTGTCTGTACATTCAAATAATCATACTGAATTCATACAGCACACGTGTCACAAATTCTCTACTAGTATCACTATACAGCTTTCAAAATTGAGAAATGTGGTAATCGCAACCTTAAATGACCATTTAAACTATCTGTCTATAGTATTTCAAAAAAAAAAAAGTGCGAGAAAAGCCTGAGTTCGAATCACGAATGCTTATAACGCAAATATACAAAATATACGCAAATATCAAATCTTCGCCCATTTAAACTGGAATCATGATAGTGTTTTCTCAATCAAGTGTTTTTGCTGGCACTTTTAGCCGGAGAAAGTTTATAACTCAGAAAGCAGAAGATTAGTAAGCACTGCAAACAGCGCACAGATTAGCTTTAATTAACAGGGGGGTGGGATTCTCCATCCTTATTTTAGCAGCATGATATATTAATATACGACGAGATCGAGGACACAAAATATGCGTACAGTCGTTTGGTTTTATGGGGGTTTAATCGAGTACACAGAATATGCGTACAGTCGTTTAGTTTTGATTGAGTAAAATGAATAATTATGCGCTTATTTTATATTTTGATATAGCCTTATAGGTAATTGGAATCATATTGTAATTCTTATATAGTTATATAGGTTAATATATAACAATTGTCTGAATTAAATCAACTAGGGGAAAAATTATGTTTTTGTTGGCAAAAGGGGAACGTCATGAGTCACTTATTGAAAAGTTTATTCTCCCCCAGCCGGTGCCGAGCACCGTGCGAGGGTTATAATTCCGCTCGGATATTAACACCGACGATGTGCAATACGAAACAAAGCAGTGAGCTCTATAATTATATACAGGGTGTATCAAAAAAAGTGTCCCAAATGTAAAATTTTTCGTTTTTCAGGATATTTTGCAGAATTTGGCAAATTTTTGTGTTCCTAGAGATACTGTTAAGACTTATCTGGTATACCTAGGCCAAGTTTGGTTTTACATTAACAAAATTATGTTACCGGGGGGGGGGTGTTCTTTTGCACTGATATTGAGAGGGCTTGCGCGCGAAAATGTGAAGCTGAAATTGAGATATGATTTAGCTGTCTAAAAGTAGGAAAGCTTTTTAATAAACTGTTAAAGTTTCAGGAAAAATAATGCATACTGGGAGCAACGCGCGACCCCTAAAGTTGACAAATATTTCATTGCGCGCAGTGGATTAAATGCATCGTTGATTTTAGCGTGACCGATCTCATGCAAGGTTGTATGAATAAATTAAAGCGAGAAACTGAACACAAAGACAAAGCGATTTATTCCTGATGTTAATCCTCAGCATGTCTACCATTTCATTCTAAGCAAACTGCGGCTCGTCTGAGCATAGTAAACAGTGAACAGCGAACCATTTGTCTGTCCATTCGCCTAGATTTGCCGGTGGTAGCGTAGGCGATTTCCAAGAAAGAATTTCGAACGAAATGGAGAATTTGAGGCAGGACAGACAAATGGTTCGCCGTTCGGTGTTTACCATGCTCATGCAGATGAGCCGCAGTTTGCTTAGAAAGAAATGTTGGAAATGTTGAGGATTAACATCACGAATAAAAATCTTGTTATTAAATCGCTTCGTCTTTTTGTTCAGTTTCTCGCTTTAATTTATTCATTTGCCCAATCTTGCATGAGATCGCGGTCACGCTAAAATCAACGATGCATTTAATCCACTGCGCGCAATGAAATATTTGTCAATTTAAGGGGTCGCGCGTTGCTCCCAGTATGCATTATTTTTCCTGAAACTTTGACAGTTTATTAAAAAGCTTTCCTACTTTAAAACAGCTAAATCATATCTTTTCAGCTTCACATTTTCGCGTGCAAGCTCTCTCAATATCAGTGGAAAGGAACAACCCCCCCCCCGCTAACATAATTTTGTTAATGAAAAACCAAACTTATATTTATATATATATATATATATATATATATATATATATATATATATATATATATATTATATATATATATATATATATATATATATATATATATATATATATATATATATATATATATATATATATATATATATGGAGCAGTAACTTGGTTGCTAAAAGTGAAGGCAAAGATGGTGAAAATTTAAGGAGCTATTGGAGGACACCCCAATCCTCCTACGTGCGAGGTCAAATATTTTTTCATTGTTTTGACCGGTGATGGCTCGCGAACGTTGGATTTTTGTGGTTTCTTCATTTTAAAAGTTGATTTTTTATAGCAATCTATATCTCTGCATCTACCTTATCTGACTACTGTATTTTCCCACAACGGTTTGGGTAAATACGAATTTTCTGCTGTGAGTGCAAGTACGCTTTAAACTTTTGCTTTGGCTTTCGAGTAATTTTTGTTTTTTCCCTTTAATTTTGACACAGTTTTAAGCAACTGATAGTCCTTTATTTTTGCCAATCGTCCAAGAATGGGGCAGTTTTTAAAGATTTTCTTCAGGATGAGAAAAAGTAAAAATAAAAATGCCATATTTTCAGTTGCAGTATGAGTCTCGTATGTTTCGGATGATTTCTTTTCACATATCTTTTCTCTTGAACCTGAAATAAGGTAACAATTTATTTGTATTTTTTGAGTGTATTTTGTTAAGTTATTTGCGAGAACGTCACCTTTGTGACAAGGGTGCATTGAAACTGCTCTGCCAAAATCTTATGAAATGCCCTTCTCGCGCTAATTTGCAAAGCTTGTTTGTCCTAATTATGTTCTGTGGCTTGCAGTTCTTCTTTCCTCCAGTTATTCATCTCTCCTATATATATGTTAAGTTTGTTGTAATAAAATTTGTCGCGTAAAAATATTTGTCGACAAGCCAAAGTTGAGATCACCCTAGGTCTTCTGCTTAATCTAATGCCATGCAGGCAATAAAAAGCGCGCGCTTAGTTTCGAGTACGAGTTTCGTCAGATGGCCTAAGCCTATTCATTTTCACGAAGCAACAGTAGCAGTAATGGTAGACTGGTAAAAACTTTTTCAACACTTAGCCAAACCGGATGTTTTTACTCCATAATGTTGCAACGTTGCAGTCAATATTGAAGTGTACATTTGTTAATTTCTCAGAACAAATGCAACCGAAACTAGCAAGTAACTATAGTAACTGTTTTAAGAGAACCATTACTGGGTAACCTTTACATTCAAGCCAGTTTGTTTATCTTTTTAAATATGCATGTTTGCTGTTACAAAAGTGTACGTTGGAACCATAAACGACCACGTGACATGCATGTTTTCTACTGAAAAAGGGTGTAACCAGTCCAATTTAAAAATAGAAGGAACTTTCAATTTTAGTACTGTATAAACATGCATGATTTTAGTCAAACCAGATGTTTTGCTCAATGCAATGTTGCAACATTGTGGTCAATATTGAAATGAATATTTGCAAATATTGCTCTATAATCACTTCAACTGTTCATTTCTGAGGGGGAGAATCTGCAATTTCGAAGCGTTTTATGGATACTTTTTCCTGCAATTTGAACATTTTCTATACACTAGTACTAGCTACATTCCCCCGATGCTTTTATCTTCTTACAGTGAACTAGTTTTGTGTGTGTTGTGTTTGACCTGACATCATAATTATATCAAAGGTCGGCATTTCTTTTGTTTCTAAATGATAATTACTCTTTTTAGATGTAAAGGTATTTACTTGTTATTAATGTTTTTGATAACGATTAGAACCAAAGTGTCCTTTTATATTATACGGTCACTCTGACAGTAGCGAGACAACTGCAAGCAAATATTTTGTTTAATAATATTATACCAACGGGTAGCTTCAGCGGCATTATCTAAAGCATTAGCAGTTATTTGCCGCCAAAAATTGCGAGTTAGTGCTAAATCACATGAAGAAGCATTATTATACCTTTGATAGACCAATATCGAGATTTGCCCAACTTTACAGAATTTTGCTACACTTAATTACATAACAAAGATATTTTAGAAAACTTTAGCCAGTGTTCAGTCCAGTCTAAGTAAAAGACCTCATGCATGTATGCAAACAGACGGAAAGCAAAAATGTTGCCTTACCGGTCAGACACATGATGTTGAGGTCGTTGCATGGAAGGCCAAACGTAGGAGTTTTCAAGAAAGAACACTCGTTTGTTCTCCTGGTTATACGAAAGATCATATTTATAATGTATAGCAACATTCTTTTCTGCTAAACTATTCAGTGGAGTAAAGTTAAAAAAAGGGAAAATTTTGCTGCGCTGTGATAGTTCCTCTTACTTGAATATTATCAGTTATCTTTCGAAACACTTTCACTTATGAGTAGCAGAGCTTAGACCCCAAACTTAGGGTGGGCTGAATATTCATATCTTCATTTTCCCTCAACATGCAGACTCTACTGATTTTTTTTGAAACTGATTGGTTATGACATGAATATTGTAATTAAAATATGAGATGATGTTTTTACACGCCTTTTATATACAATTAAAATGTGATAATTAACCCTTATTTCCTGCTACCGAATAAGACATTATGTTTTGTGGACCCTCGACTGTCGATATTTCAGGCTCGGCTGTTTTACGTGTCTGGAGGTTAAGAAAACGTTCCGTACTCAGAGGAGTCAATTTCTTTTGTTATATATTTTTCATATACGAACAGATGTCCTGCAAGTAACGCAAAACTGACTATTCCGTTTTACCTCCTAACACTTTGAAAAAGTACAAACAGTCAGTATTTTTCCCGAAAGAAAACTTTAATTCAAGGCGCAGTTGAAAGCTTTGTCGCTGTTCGAGCTGCTTCAACTATATAAATAATCTAACAAAACATGCTCCTGATTGGCTAACGCGCCCCGTTGGCCAATTAGCCAATTACGACCGTGGCTTGTCCTCAAATACGTATACGTCACAACGCAGACATTTTATGGCTCCTGATGTATGTCGCCTGCCATTACGCTATCACGCGTTGACTCGGTCTTGATGGGAGTATGTCTCAGAAGCTGCGCAATCTTCGCCAAGACTGCTTTAATCCGACTAGGGGCTGTTTACAGGGGTCCGCCTAGACGAGATTCAACGATGTAACTAGGAGGTATTGAAATAAATGTTTATGACACCAAACAAGCACAAGCTATTGTAAGGGTGAATACACAATTACCAAGATCAGGTTACATGCACCTTTTGATTACCTCAATGTCATCTCTACGCTTTGTTGAACCTCGGCTAAGTGGGATCAGGTAAACAGGCCCGGCTTTATGTAAGACCCAATCGCTGGGCCATGTAAAACCAGCACCGCGTCGTCAAATATTATCTGAGGTTGTGAGAAATTAATATTTGGTCGCTAAGGGGGGGAGGAGGCTATGGCGGCGGGGATACAAACGTATCACATGCAGCAGAACGATTTCATGCTAAAATTTACATTTAAATATTTTCATGCTAATAAAGCGCAGATGAAATATCATTAGGTTCGTTGGATTAGGAGAGAATATCCACAAGTATAAAAGGCAGCCTTTGAAATAATCGTGTACGGAATTAAACAGAGGTGTCAGAACAGAGCCGTCCAAGTATATTTCTGCTTTCATGAGCATTCTCGTGCAATATTTGCCTCAAAGTCCTAACAGTAGATATGCTATAGCTATATATAATTATAACAAAAAGTCAAAGTGAGAGACTGGTTGTTATTATTTATTAATTGATAAGTCGGTAATACAACATTAACTTTTAAGTAAACGACTAGCTGGGAGTTACATCGTATACAATCGTTCTGTCGTAACCATACGGAGTGTGTTAAATAGTTGTTAATTTGTATGAACACCACGTGTATTTATTATATGCAGAGTTTTCAAGGTCGTCAATTCGGCCTTCACCAATGCAATTAATTTTACACGTACGCGGTATTCCAGTGGCAACGCCACCAAGTGCGTGATAGTTTTTTAAAGTTTTCAAAAGCATCAAATGACCAAGCCAATGGGAACAAAATTCACTAAACGCATTCATCTGAACGCGATTCACTAACACGACGCGAATTTTCAATTTTCAGAAGCAAATAAACTCTGAGAGAAAATTTCGAGAGATATGGGTAGCAGATAGGTCTAAATGTACTATCGTTCGGTTCGGTTCGGTCAGGTCCAAGAATATCACGACGTTCATTGCATGTCAAATTTAGCAGCTTTTAAAAACCTAAAGATTCTTAAAAACCGCGTCGTGCTGGCGCGGATATCGCGTCCGGTGTGTGTTGGCCTATAGCAGTGAACTCAAATAAGACGACTGGAACGCTCACTCTCTGACTTTCCCTCATAAATTAATGAGTGAAGCCAAGATGGCGGATCATGAAGCCTTTCGACAAAGTGAGCGTTCCAGTCTTATTTGAGTCCACTGGCCTATAGACTTAAAAACGTAAGTGGAAAGCAGTCAGATCCCGACAATATTTGACACGTCATAATGGACGACTTGCGCTTTAGACTAATTTTTGATCTTTTTGTATACTTTTGTATAACGACCGGAAGTGTGTAACTAATTTAGTTACACATTTCCGCACGTAATACAAAAGTATACAAAAATCGACAACTTTGCGTGGCTATAATTTCCGTCTTTTACAAAATTTCGCAGCCAAACTTTGCTTTTGCACTAATTTATAAGTAAGATCTTTCAGAAAATGTCCTTTTTATCGCCGAAGTAAGAAATTAGTCTAAAGCGCAAGTCGTCCATTGTAAGAGCCTAATACATTCAATTCACCTCCATTGGCATGGCAATGGGTTTTTGGACTGCTGAACGAGCCATTGCTCTTATTATTACACTGAGGTACACATATAGTACCGGTGCTATTTCTTCAACAATACGTTCTACCAGAATATGTTTGCTCAATTCAGAAATTGCCGGTTCTATTTCTTCAACCATACGTTCTACCCGAATGTGTTTTCTCAATTCTGAAAACGCTTCGGGTAGTGTGTTGGCGGTGGATATATATCGTGCACAAATACGACCAGCAAAATTTCTTTGGTTATACCTCACAGTTCGTACACGGGGGTTTCCAAGGTTGACAGTTTGATTAAGATACCTGGCAATTTCATCAACAGTTGCGTTGGGATTAGCTCTCCGTGTTATCGCGATGGCATCTGCCGCATGGCTGACGAAACGTTCATTTTCGACCTCTTCGCGAACCAAACGAGCAACAATCTGCAAGAAACACAAACTGTATAATGCTGTATAATATCCTATGAATGAATGTGCTAGTTGAATTAATTAATTCAGGTTCTTTTGGAAATCGTTTAATAATGATTATATATGAAAACGTTGTGTGATTATATAACCAGGATTAATTACTATAGTTCTACAAACACTATACCACCAAACTAAGCGTAAAAATCTCTATTTTAGCTCAAAATCAATACACTACATTTACTGCCCTCTACACCTTTTCTTTTTACATCGTCATTTCCATACACTTTCCCGTCAGTTCAAACTATTTCACTAAACAACCACAATGCTCTTGGTAGGTGTAGTTGACCCGAGCCAACTATGAACATTACTTTCAATACATTAGAGATGCCTCGAGAGGAAGCTAATATTTTACTTTGTTCGTGTACTTTGTTCAACATGTATGAATTTAAAACGTTTCTCGATGACTTGTGCGTGAAGACGATCCAATCGTCGCCGAAAAAAAAATCGTCCTAACAGACGGAAAGAGGGTCGGACAAATTTAGATCATTCGCTTTCACATCCGACGTTTTATTCGTTCAGACGATTTGTCCGCGTCTACTCAATGAAAAGCCGGGAATTAACTATTAAATAAGTAGACCACCAAGGTCCGCCATGTTCAAAGACGAAAAAGAGGAGAAAAAATTTCACTGATCGTTTCAAGATGGTCAATGTTTACCTGGGAAAGACAGTGAATATATTGAACAGCGATGAATCGTCCGCCAGTAATTAGACTAAGGCCCATAAAAAAGGCCCTGACATGTTCACTGGTTTGATTACAACCAAAACAAAGCAGCACAATACCCGATGCGGCCATTTGGTGACATACTTCAACAAGATCGTGATGGTCTGGACGAGGTTGCGGTAGTTCTTCCATTGGTGCCAGGCCTTGTAGATTAGCGTCTCCTTCAGTAAAAGATTAGTCAAAATAAACGTTAGTGAAACTCCCGAAATTCCAATCTAATTCCCGTCCAAGCACATGCACAAAAGTGAAATACACATAGAATAAACAAGTCTAACCCTGTAACCCACTGTCGTTGCCTTGACTTCTTATAGCTGATAATAGCGAGTTTAAGATGCACCAAATCGATCTACAGGACGTGGACGTGACATGAAAACTGCTACTGAACCACTTGTTTTACACGCGGCTAATTTTAGTGTGCTGTGATAACCAATTTGTGCGGTGATAAAAGTCAAATGTGCAGTGATAAAACGAGAAATGTGCAGTGCGTATAATTACTCCGGCGTCAGCGACGGATCGGAGTTGAAAATTCGCCTCAGCGTTGTTTTGTTTTGGTTTTTTCTTATTATTTTTTCATCATTTTTCGCCGTCGCAACTGTGCTTTGGCGTGAAATATACTAGTATTTGAAAAGTGCATGCATGCGACCGTTTTTATCTACGTCACAGTTTTGTCTCCCAAGACTTGTGGTGCACATCTCGAAATCTAATTTTCCGATGCGCGATTTGATTTTGCTCGCATGATACGCAAATTCCTCCAAGAGGAACAAAATTAATAAACCGTTTTTTTGATGCTGTTCGATTGATTGGGGAAAGAATATATTTAATACATATAGATTCTGGTCCTATTTTAATAATATCGCTGCTATTTCGCGTTTAACACGATGTGGTCGTGTATGGGCGCATTGACATGTCACTGTTTGCACAGGATTGAAGATTTAATATAAGCGCGAATTCCAAAGTGTAAGACAACGTGAACGTATCATGCAGTTTATTTACATTTTTGAACAATTGAACTTCTATACTTTTTAAAGAACGATGTGCTTCTGAATGTGCCGATCAAAAAACATTTTAATTAGGTTGGCAAGGCATCTAAATGAGTGTGAACTGTTTATGTTCAGAAGCTTTATATTGAAGATTGGCACGTGTGCGGCACGCCGGAGGTGTGCAGGTTTCTTGTTTACTGATAAATGGTATTTTCTCAAAAGACCTCACTCTGCTGAGATAGATTCGTCAGTAATTGTCCCCCAAAATGCTGGAAATCAAGTCGTAGAAACTCAAAAATACAGAAAATATTGATTGAGAGGCAATGCAGAAGCCCCACAGACACCCAACCGTCTTTAAATTACCAATTTCCAATTAGTACCAATTGTATCATGCCCGCCACCTCTACTATACTGTTGTGATCATATGTGCAGTGATAAAAATTCTTGAAATTAGCTATGATTTCCATCCCTGTTTGGAAACTGTAGAAACCTACCCACCCTGTGGAAATTAGAGCAGTATTAATTCACGTCCGCGTTGTTGATTTGGTGCATCTTAAACTCACTAACACGTGATGGCATGACAATCAGCGTACTGAAATTACAAATGCTATACGGAACAAGTGATAATAATTATCAAGTATTAAAAACTTAGCCTTAGGCTTAGGTTAAAACGAAATTCCTCCTTGTTGCTATACAGTTAAGAAATGCAACAAATGCGTGATATGATCACTGAATTCCAGACATATTATAGCTATATATTCATTTTCTCTGGTTATAACTTTTTTTTAAAAGTCAAAGTGGAAATATTACGTCTCTTATTACGTGGCCTCTAGGGTGAAAAAAAAGAGTCACGTGACATTGCTAATAAACTTATAAACATGTTTTTTCATCGTAAGGCGTAAAGTTGGACGGAGCAAAGAAGTAAGTAAATGTTGCTTTTCCGTTTAAATTAACATATATATGTAGGCAATGGTACTGAGTGTATTTATACATGGAATATAAATAAAATCTGTGCTTATTATACCTACAACTATACGCAATTTGTGAGTTGCTATTCACTGACGCTGTGCCTGTTTAATAATCATCTTACATTTTGTAACACTCACAAATATTGGCCAGAGCCGGAGGCCGAGCACTGTTGTTTTTTTTTCCTCGTTAATTTTCAAGGACATATTTTGTTCAGGTTCATTTGAAGTACATATTAGTTAGGCTGAACTAATGATATAAAGCTGCGAAAGGTGCGGGGAGGTTATAGTTGGGATTCACCGCTACCTGCCCGGAGCCTAATCTGTGAACTTCAGTAGGAGAGATAATTATTGCTTACCAATCCAAACACATATCTTTATGGCATTCGATCTGAACTGTAAATTGGAGGCACTGTAAAGACCATCAGCCATTGCATCAGGTGTGTTCAAGCCTTGGCAATTCATAGGGACAGTTACACCTACAAACAAATCAACCTTTAACTTCTAGTAAAGGGATCCAGCAGTGCTAAATTATGCAATTTTCATAAATAGCTGATTTCAAAATAGTTTGCAGTTTTTTTTATACAGGTCCAGAATATAATAAGGAACCGCATGCCGGATTATTATGTATTAAACCCCATTAATTGGCAATGGCAAACTAAATTGCTCCAGGTTTGAAATTTTACCATTAAGTATTTATGTGACTGTCCGCATGTTTAAATTCAGTAGATCTATTTAACTAAAATCAATATATATACATATAACATATATGCATATTATTGTAAGTTAATTTATGTTTAAGTAAATAAACCAGAGTTTTGTTGTATTTTAAGGTCACAGGACCAATTTGTAACTAGATAAATGTACTCCTTCTGCCTTTTCAGCCAGACAAACTGTACTTTTATGTATGTATATGTGTAGAAATGTTGATAAGCAGTGAAGCCTATTTTCACATTGCATTGATTGTATAATGATTTAGAAATTTTATTTTGATATAAGTGTAATAATAGGTGATTAAATAACTAGTCTTAAAAATTGACATGCTATCAAACTTCTCAATGTTTCAACTTGATTTTAGACCAGTGTTGCGGCTGATTCCAGATGATTCTCCAGTAATTGTCAAATTTGTAAATAAAATATGTTATAAAAACTGTTACGAGTCTGATACAAGTACATACAACATACTCAGCTGCACCTGCATGGTGCAGTGCATGGGTTATATGCAACCCTAAGCATAGTGTAATGGAAATTTTAATAAAAATAGATCAGATGAACTAATAACTGATTTATAAATATGTAAGATGTTTTCAGAAAAATTTATGGAAGCTGACATAATTAAATTTCAACACGGCTTTGGGATTGGCTGTTGATATATATGATTGATTAGTGGTTAGTGCTAATTAACATTGTGTCTCTCTAATATACATGTGTTTTCATGAAGTGCTGTTCAGTTATACTTTAAAAAATCAAATTTTCAGTACTGGTAATTCTTTTTGATGTTTATGTAGGTAAACACAGTATTAATTTACAGGGACACATAGAAAATTTTGGACTCTCTAGGGGCCCAAATTTCACAGCAAAAAAAATGCCATAGTAAGTTAACTTTTGAAGATAACTTTGCAACACTTTTAGGGGGGTTTGGGGGATCCTCCCCAATGAAAATTTTCAAGTTTCCTGTAAAATTTTCAGGGTGCATCCAACCCTGGGGCCCGGAGCAAATTACCCCTTTTCCCTTCACCCCCTCCCCTGGACAGCCCTGTTAATAATGTACGTAACCCAAATACATTTGGTAGCTATGCTTCTTTGACAGCAGGAAAGTTATGTCGCCAGAGCTCAACCCCAATCTAAAGCTGCCAAGCTAAAGATTTAATATCTGAGGTGTAAACAGTATATAATTAATGCACTTGGGAGATTTTGTTTTGAAAAATTATATAGATATGATTATAGGTAATATTATTTTGCTGCCAAGCAAAACTGAAAAAGTAAACGTTATATTAAGGAAGATCTAGACATTAGTTTGATGACTAGAATGATTTTGAACATTATGTACACATGTGATGCAGTGTTATTAATGAATATTCGTACACTATATATTCTTCATATAAATATAGTAATGGACATCACCAAACTTCTAAGCAAAATAACTGCATATTTGTTTACAATTTTATATACATTCTTTTTAGTTATATACAGCTCCTTAATATTATATTTTTTCTTTGAAATGCCAATATTGACTAACATACCTCACAATTATTTAGTATTATTTCCTTGGGTATGGTATGGCCTATATGCTAGCTGATATACGGTAATTGAAACATTTTAATAGTCCTTTTAATATTGAGCTTAGAAAGGTAGCTATATATTGATATAACAGATAATTTTACTTCACGTAATTAACCCTTTAGGTCCCCCGGTTAATTAGAAAGTTAGACGAGCTGACTAGGACACATTACAACCACGTCGAAGTTGATAAAAGCATATAATTTACGAGAACATATAGACGAGATTTACGAGCACACGAAGACGACAATTTACCTGGTAGATCTCTCGTGAAATTGCTATGTATTAATGAATAGCCAGCGTTGGCCGAAGGAGTACATCCATGGTATTGCACACATGCATGGTTCACGTCAAATCTCCAAAGCAATCTTCTGATAATACGTCGCAACACTGTCGAAACCTCGTGAACATGAACGTTCATAGGCTGTGTGCAATCCAGAACAAACACGATATCTACTTCTCGGCGAATAAAAGTTCTATCCAATGACTGTGGTACGTATTGATCCATGTTTTCAAGCGTGAATGTAGGCAAATGTTCAAAACATTATACGGTGAAACAGGTAGCCACAACCAGCCACTGCCAGTCTGCCAGAGTAAACTGACTCAACTAACACGAGTCTGCGTTCTACTACAATACCACCGTTTTAAATCAATGGCGAATGAACCTATTACAGAAATAGAAATTACGAAATAACCAATGACGCAATCGTTTTCAAACGTAAAGTTACATCAGGGGAATTACTGGAATGGCTGCAAAGGCGTAACCAAGGGTGGGCGGCCGCCCGGGCTCAAATGACGAATCAATTTTGTGCAGAAAACAATACCGGGTGTGGAAAAAAAAGAAGACGAAGAAAGCCGGAACCGTCAAATAGGATTGTCCCTGACGTCTACTCTTTATTCCTACAGCGAAGGCTAGCCCTCCCTGTTATATACGTGTATACGGAAAATTTCCAGCCCTACTTGGCCTACCAGGCAAGATCTTGGATAGTCAATAGCGTGATCTCGCCTTGTGGGGCTGGCCCTCCTCTCATGTAAACGAAATTGTTCTTTAGTATGGATTTATAGTAGCACGCGCGATCTCGCTTGGTAGGGCTAGCCCTCCCTGTAGGGCTCATGTAAACAGCCCCGAAAAAGCGTAAGCGATTCGTCACTGCATGCTTAGCAGTTGACTAGAAGCATTCACCACCCCCCCCCCAAAAAAAAAATACGTATACGACAAGATTCTTACCTTTTTCCGGAAGTTAAGTTACTCATCTATGAAATATGACATCAGACGTCTCATACAACTAAAGAATATCAATGAAATAATCCATATTTAGTCGAGTAATGTATAACTTAAAGTTTGATATATTACATATGAAGTTTGAACGAGTAGTTTCCGAGATATTCGCGTTTAAAGACACAGTAACGTTTTGAATTTTATCACAAATCAGCAAAAAATAGCCTGTTAAATTTGTTTCAACAATACCTCTTCGAAACATGGTTTGTTGTAACTTATTTTTTAGTTTTTTGACAAAATTTGTTAAGTCCATAATACGAATCTCTGAATTTGTCAGGTTTATCATGTAAGTTTTCAGTTATTGTTGAGTTTTACATCATTATTTTATGCCCTAAGTCCCTTGAACCTGATGGAATTCCAACTTACGAACGCAAGCAAGTTATCGCGACAAACGTCTTAAGTTAACATCGCAATAAAACATGCCTCGCTTGACGAAATATCAAAGAGTTTGGGTTTGCTTAGAGTATGCTAGAACGAATAACGCATATGAAGTTTCAAGACGATGGGATGAGCGATGGAACAACGACCCGAGGCCTACAAGACGAAGTGCAGTCAAAACTTATCGCAAGTTTTTACAAGAAAGTAGTTGTCTCGACCTAAACAAGGAACGAAGTGGCAGACCAAGGAGTGGACGAACTGCAGAAAACGTTGAGTTAGTACGTGAATCGCTCCTAGACAACGGGAATAGGTCACCCGTACGTGATAATTCGAAGGCAAAGAATCAGAGAGACGGCGACCCAGTACAACGCCTGGCTTTCTGCAACCGACTCCTGAACACCGTTGCCGATAATCCCGATTTTCTTGACAAGCTTATGGTGTCAGACAAGGCTGTCTTGAAACTTGTAGCTTGAATTCCATGAACTTGAATTCCTTGAACTCGCGAAACGTGAGGAAGTACGCAGCACGTGCATGGTGATAGGCACCCATACGATCATTACGTTGCTCATATGCAAAGGGCACAACAAGTGATGGTCTGGGCTGGGCTGACAAGACAGGGCGTTGTTCTTGGTCCGCATTTTACACGTGCAAACCTCGATACGAGAGAATACATGCGTATAATTCGCTACAAGGTGATTCAGAGAAAATTTCCAATGCACAACATTGACAGAAACTCAATGTTGTGGCAACGGGACGGCACCTCGTGTCACACAAGCAAGGCAACAATCCGATATCTGCAGGGATAATTCCCTGGCCGACTCATGAGTAAACGGTGCGTGACTTCTTCCTCTGGGGCTATTTAAAATAGCAAATTTGGGAAGTTCCTCAGGACCAACAACCTCAAAACTTTGGAGAACTTCGCTAGGCGATTGTTAGGTCATGTCGGAATTTGGACGGCCACATAATTCAAAGGTCTTGAATAACACGATTCTTCATCTAATCAAGAAGAAAAACTCATCGAGAATGAGAATTAAAAGATCCAGATCACCAAGCGAGTAATCTGAGTCATAAATTTATTACAACCTTCTACAATGAAAAAGATATGTTGCGTGATAGCCGCTTCACTGAACACTATCTCGTCAAGTGATCAAAGACCAAAACGCTTTTGGTCCTTTTTTAAGACAAAATCGAAAGTCAGCAATATTCCAGGGAAAGTCTCAACGAAGATAAGCGAAAATGGGAGAATACATGCCTGCATGTATTCAAAAACATCAAGTATCGCATATATCTACAGATAAACCCTTATCAAAAAGAGTTTTGAACATCAGTGCGCCAAAGCCTCCAAAACCCTGGGATATACGTTCGTAGATTATAACGTTCGACATCAAAGAGAGCGCAGTCCGTCTCACTTTATACCTAACTCTTTTCTATACGTTACCATAAACAAGACGCCTGTTCTGGCGTTAACTCCGACGTACCGCGCATGCGTGCGGGTCTTCAATATAAAGCTTCTGGGAACATAAACAATGCAGTTCATACACATTTAGATGCCTTACGAACCTAAAATTAATGTTGTTCGATCGCGACATTCAGAAGCACGTCGTATAGTTTAAAAAATACAAAAGTGTAAATAAACCGCATGATACGTTCACTTCGTCTTACACTTTGGAATTCGCGCTTATATTAAATCTTCAATCCTGTGCAAACTGCGACGTGTCAACGCGCCCATACACGACCACATTTTGTTAAACGGGGAAAAAAATTTTAGCTAAAATTGAAAGGCATTTTTTCAAAGTTTCAGAGGATAAATATCAAAATAATACAAGGTTTACCAATATACGTATGATAGTTGTGGCTTGATAAACACAACAGTGTAATAAAAAATAGTACTCATAGTAATCACTTAACTCTATTGTGAACATAAGCTGCATAAAAGGAATAATTTTATTATGCATGACAATTTGTCTATGATTGGGTTTAGTAACGACACATTTAGAATTTCAAAGATCTAAATATTCAAACCTACAAAGAGTCAAAAACCTTGTGGTATTGACTAATGTGCTAACTATTGATTAAACAAACTTCAAATTATAAATTATGGATTTAAAAGAACATACTTTTTTACCTGCTTTCCCTTCTGTCAGAATATTTTTGCAAAATTGGGACATCTCGTCGAAAGCTCATTTACTACTTCTGTCATCCAGTTTGACTGACTTAATCCTGCGTATGTTCTATTCCTTTATAGCACGGATGGCTCGTCCTTACGGGCAATATTAATCAGTTCTCTGTTCGGCTCGTTTTAATTTGTTATCCAACGCAGTTATATTCTAGAACAAATCAAACGAGGTATTTTACTAAATAGCGGCACGTTCAAACACACGAGATTTTTTTCGCGGCATTTGTAGTCATAATTATAATAAAAGATTTCAATGCCATATCAATATTAATTTTTCTTTATATTTCTATGAATCATTTATAAGACGCAATATGTAAATTTGAGAGACAGCTTTATGTAAATATACACGACCAACTTTAACTACATTATACTATACCTCTTTATTGCTGCGTATTAATGGCTCCACTACATGCATGCAGTCCTCAATAATTCCTCGTTTAATTTATTAGATAAATTTTTGCGATGATTTGTGCCACCAATAGATCGAGAAAGTCTACAAGCCAACGGGACAATCGAATTTCTTGCTCGACAACCACCTTAGCAACAACTGAAATTTGTATTTAAAAAAATATATTCGTTTTTCAGGTCGCTTTGCCGGTTTTTTAAGGAAAAACAGTGCTTTTTGGAACTGGTTTTACTACCTTAGACATCCTAAGATGATATATTAGGAGGAAAACCATTTAGAAATAAAAAAATTCGTTAAAAACGACATATTTTGGCCGCGGACATCGTGAATGAGTGAACATCCGGGACTTGAATTTGCCCTCCATTAACACGTTCCCCAATTTCTCCTCGATGCCCCCTCTAGTGTTATTTATAATCGATTCATCTCTATGGTTCAAACAACATGGCGCTTGTCAAGCATATCCGAACGTTGTCAGTAAAAGCTGTCGGCCAGCCCTCACAAGAAAATTTAAGCTCGCCGACATATCAAAACGGTTTTAAGAAGTGTTGAACTGCAATTCTAGCATGAAATGAAATTGCCCCTTATATGGTACGTTTTCACTCATTTTTGATCGTGTATCTGCCTGCATGACTATTGAGACACCCGTACATTAGCTATATTTAGTGTTTTTCGTGGAACAAAACGCAACCGTCTATATTATATATAACTGCAATGGCCGGATTAATCTGCGTTATTAATTTAACCAATAACGACTATATACAACACTACTATTATAATACGGTTATATAAAGCAATTAGATGTGAAATTATTTCTGTTATTGCACATGCACCATGCCTAAACTGTGCAGAATATTTTGGAGTACAGCAATTTGATTCAACATACTTGTTTAGATTCCGGCAGAGATCATGCTCGAATAATAAACGACAAAAGTGCACCCATCGTCTCATCAGATTAAAATAACTATATACACAGCATTAATGTCGCCCAGATGCAAAAAAGAAGTTTGCAAAAATAAAGAAAACGAAAAATACAACAAGTGTATAACCGCACTCGTGCTCTACCAGTCCAATGTTTTGAATAATATTCATCTGGACTTCCTGAACACGTTGCATGCATATGTAAATTGAACTTCTAAAACGGGGAAATTTTAACTCCATGACGACAAATTCATTCGCATATAGGTAAGAAACTGTTGTGTGGATAAAGCGGAGCTGTTATCTTGACATTCCCCAGTGAAATTATAGCATGCTTGCATGGATCAGAAACATCAATAAATAATAAAATTATATTGATGTTACTGTTAAGTAGCACGAAATTCAGTCTTTGATCATGACTGCAAGCTGTTTTTTAAAGAAGCGAATTGATATTGATTGAATATAATTAGGGTATCCTGTTATTTCGTTTCTCCTGCACTCGATCTGACTTAGAATAGGTAGGTAACAACCTGTTGTATCCAAACGTTGTATCCTTTAAAGTATGCATCGATCTTAATGTATTTTTATGCGGCGATGTGCGAATAATGAAGAAAAGAGCAAATTTGCTGATATGTTGAGAGAAAAATCTGTTTTCCAAGAGTTTTCCAGCATCAAACAATACGGTATGAAAAAGAATGGAAAGACATTTAATGCCAACTCATTTAATTCCTGTTCAAAATCATACCGCTATTCGCTTTTCATTATAGTCGATGTCTCTCTATGCAGGAGCTAAATTAATTCCAAGGTGCCAATATCCAGAAGGGGCTACCCACAAGTAAATTGGTAAGTTTATAGCCATCGTATAGTAGTTCTTCCCACGTATAATGAGCTGCAATAACAAAAACAATTTCACATCGAACTGCTTGATACATCCGTATTATAACTAAAATCACAAATTAATCCAAATATTACGAATATAAACGAATGCATCTTGATGGATGAAGTACACGCTAGTGCCAAATATAAACTATATACTTTTTGTCACCTCATGGTTAAGATATATGAAATTAAAAGATGTATGCTTTGAAATTCCACGGTTATAATTTGTCTTTGCTTGAGTGCGAAGATACTCGATAGATGTTTGATGAAGGGTGAAATGTAAATTTAGACGTAATAATGTCCGTTTATTTGTAGGAAAAAATTCGATTGATCTTCGTCAATAATACAACAGAATTTTTCATATATTGTGAAGTGTGAAATGTAAAACTTACACCGTCAGGCGTCTAATTAGCAAAATAATGTCCATTCATTTGGAGTTTGGGTTTTGGTCGAGGGTCGAGGGTAGTGAGTCGCGGGTCGAGTAAGGTCGAGGGTCGAGTAAGGTCGAGGGTCGAGTAAGGTCGAGGGTCGATTTTTATCGCATTTTTCGATCGGCAATATCGAGGGTGAAGTCGAGGGTAATATATTTTTCGCATTAGGTGAACTATTTTTAATATCTAAAATTACCCGAAACTATTATAAGTGGATTGACCGTTGCATGTGTATAACGCAGGCAGCTCACCGGTTCTGCAAGCAGTTACATGTTACAATGTTGTTTTGAATTCACTGAAAAAAGTAAAATAGCCATAGGACGAATATGGTATATTTGTTATTTACGCGTTACGGCTTGTGATGCTTGTTTTTCAATCTGAAATACAGGCATATAGTATATCGAATAATATGTATAATATATATATAACACTGATTATTATATAACAATATTCTTGTACGTTTACATGGTGATATCAAATTAGCTTGTAGGTACAGCACGTAAATATTTTATACTGTAAAGCTTAATAAAACTTAAAGCAAAGCTTAAAGCTTTCTCTCAATACATGCAGCTAGTATGGTCCACGCAGAATAACCTAACACTGAAAACCGCGGTTAAGCTAGGAGTAAGGTCAAACCGAGGTCTGATCGCGGTTGAACTGAGGTCAGACCGAAGTCGAACCGCCAAAAAGACGGAGTTTAAACCTCGGCCTATCTCGATCTGACAGACATTTCTTCACATTTTTTTGATTTGGTTATTGTGCATGTTGTCGCTCTTAGTTGTTGATAACATTCCGTTCGGACGCGAACGGCATGCAACCGTGATCGTATTTCCCTTATTGCGTTCGTGTCCTGTTTATGTTGGTCGACCGCAACCGAACCGCGACTGAACCTAATTTCTGGTCAGTACTGCATGTATTAACTGTCACATAAACTGTGACTATAAAGGGAGTAGAAAATTTGGTGGTTTTACTTCACCTTACGACTGTACGTGTTTGTTTCCGAAAAAATTGAAACATCAGCTATCGGCTTATTTATAAGTCCGCATTTCATCATACGCGGAGGGTAAGGTCTGGCTAGCTCAGGAAATGCAGTCCTTCGCTTAAAATTAATGGCGAAGGGTTGCAGCGTGCATGTATCTCTAGTTAATCAGTTATATAGATCATGACCATTCGCTTTTGATTATATAGCCCGTTGATGTTTCTCCATGTTCCTCTTTCTCTGTCCGTTGATGAAGTGGACTAAATGTAGTTGTGGAGCGGAGTAATGTAAGGGATCGTATTTTTTCCCGGACGAATGATCCGTCTCGCAGATTATTCGTCTGTGCACAAGACAAACTATCCAGACGAACTATGTACAGGCGAATATGTTAAGCGAAACAGAATCGCGATTTATATAGATTCAGTGCACAGGAATATTGGCGCGAATGTGCATGTTAGGGAAATTATTTATGTTACAGAATTTTTTTTTATGCTTACCCCTAAGAAAATATTCACCTTTTATGCGGTTAGACATATTTTTTATTTCTGGAAGCATGGGGTGATAATTTCCCTTTACAAAAAATACATGGAGCCGGTTTGGAAAGAACAATGCATGATAAGACTACACCAGTAAAGCTGTTCTAATCTTTATTGAAGTTCTAATCCCGTTTCAACAAATTCAAATCATGTAATATCATATGTATTTGTCCACCTTTCTATAACTATACTTTCCACGTCATAACTTTAAGCCTTTTCGGTATCTAACAGGAAAGTTTAAAAAATGCTATAAGCATAGTTAGTCTAAAATATAGTTCAAAGATAAATGATTATACATGATACAATGATACACACATGAATTATGTATATTTTGCTAATATTTATCTTGTTTGTATCAATTTTCAACTATATATGTATAGGCAGCAATCTTTTTTATATATAGAAAACAATAAATAAAGAATTGATTATATATTTATAATATCTTTTCTCTTATATTAGCTACGTTAGCTTTCATGATTAACGTATGGCATATCAAGCCATATAATAAATTAAATGGTATAGTTAGTCTAATATATATATACACATGTACCTTATTATGGCAGCATTAGAAACAACTGTTCGCATCCTTGCAACAAGTTTTATGGGGAGGGCACTCATATTTCGGATATTCGCCGTTGTAATCACAATGTCTCGGAGGAAAAAATCCAATAATGCAACAAAACATGCCGTTTATTTCGCATTCAGAAAAATTTTCTAAAGGCAATATAAGCTGTATCAAAATGCAGCAGCAGACGTATATAAGTGAAATAAACAAAATATTTCTATATTTTCTAAAGTTTTGATGAAATAGCCTTTCTCGGGATGACGAACGTACCGCCAGTTTTTAATTGTGAGCGCAAGCCCTTGTCAGGGCGGCTGTCTATAATTTTGGGCTTAATTTATTGTTGAAATGGTCTATGGACTCTTCTTACATTGCCATGATTGTTAAACGCATTTAAGAAAATTAAAGAAACGGTGCCCCAAAAATGGCGGATATTCGTCTTCGTGAGAAATGCTAAAAATCATACCCGAGTTCACCCGTCGTTTCACCAAGTTTGAATTCGAGACGGTGAACATCACAAGAAACAAGCAGATAATGAATTTAGAATTCATGGCGATCTAAAAGAAAAATATTTCAAGCTATCAATACGTTAGTTCATAGGCAGTAACGCAAATCGCCATCCGAACGCAACATGCACTGCCGTGTTGACTTAATGCACATTACTGCGTGCATGATTGAAGAATTTATTGAAATGACAAAGAAAGGAAAAAGTTAGCTATATAAATGCATGTAATATACATGGAGGTGGGAAAGAATTCAATGAAGTGATGATTTAAAGAGAAAATGTCGACTATTGTAAAATTAATAGCCAAAACAAAAAGAGATTCGTTTGGAACGCCTCCCACCTCCAGATAGAAAATACTGTACAATATTTTAGCTATATTTTTTATACATGCACTGTTGTCGCTTTGCGGAATTATCAACAGTCTTAAGGGCTGTTTACATTAGCCCGGTTACCCGAGATTAAACGAAGCGTGAGAGGACTTTGAGGTAGTGATATAAGTCTTTATGACACCGAACAAGAACATGCTATTGTTGTGGTGATTATACGACTGCCAGGATTATGTTATCTTCCCATTTCAATGCCCATAAATCATCTCACGCTTCGTTGAATCTCGGGTAATGGTGCTCATGTAAACAGCCCCTTATATACGCCAAGCTTTAACTGAAATGATAAACGAAAATAAATCTGGGCGCGAAAAGATAATTGAGGAATTTGAATAAAAAATGAATCGCATACTTACAAATATTTACAATCGAGCAATATTTCAAATGTTCAGTCTTCAGTCAAAGGCTCCAAGCGATAAAATGAGCGGACAACGTTTACTCCTCTCAATATAAAACCATGCATGACAAGGCTAGATATGTCAGAATAATTTATTTGTGTGGAAAAGACGTTGACATGGCATTTACGCATTCAAATCAAAGTTCGTGAACAATTTCTCTATTAATAATTTGTTAACAGTTTTACCGGGAAAAATTCAGTTGAAACATTACGATTACAAACGGTCTCTATTGCAGATACTGACAAAGGACAAAGTTAAATACAAAACAATTTACGAAGCACTGGAAAGGTGGATTTAAATATAAATATGATATATCCATGTATACTATTCTATAGTTATATACATTACCCGATCCAGCGTTATAGGCCAAAAATATAATGCAGATAATAACATACGTCATATGCATATATTACATTCATAACATTCTCATATTAAAGTGTGATGCCTTAATTTTTTGCTTATAATGTTGGATCGGCTAATGTGTGTGAGAAATGGTCGAGCCGTTTTCAGGAAATGACAAAACCGCGCTTTTCGTCTTACTGACTAGTGACTATATGTTAAATAACTTAGTATAAGAATGAAATAGAATGCACTTTACAAATTATAAAATAAAATACTGCGATCGAAGATCTAGCTAACCATCGGGATAATTTAGATGATTGTTATTAATTTTGATGAAGTGCATAGGTGTAAAGCTGCAGAGATGAACGATGAGCCCCAATTTGGGAGGGAAATTATTTTGATTATTTAAAGACAACCTAATTACTATAGCCTATACTGTATAATTATACAGTATATGCTATAGTATATAAGGCTACCGATATTGATAGTTTGGTTTACCGTTATTCACAGCTTAATACTTTATTGTTGTTAGTCTTAAGGATTCTACTCTAAGAAGCTGCATAGCATTCCTTGTCCTGCTAAGTGTCCCTTCTACTCAAGACTTCTACAACTTATTTACATAATTATGACTGTAAAATAATAGGGGAATAGCAATGACAAAAGAGAGAGACGGGACTGTCGTAAAAAGATTGCAACCTATTAACTGTGATCTATCCATGCCTTGTGGTTGTCATTTTGAAGGAATTTTTCCCTCAAATGTGTAAGCCCAGTGCTTTCCGTCTTCTCTTTATATTCTATGATACTATTGATTAATTTTGTTTATTGCTGTGTTGTTTCTGGATGGTTTAACGATCCAATGAATTGTGGGGGAAATAACTCGCCCCATACAACAGCTGATGGCTTGAGTGAGGTTCTTCGTGGTGTATTTCTTTTTTCTTTCAAGATTTCCTACAGTACTGTTCAGAACCTAATACTGCAGTTGCGGTTAGGTTGCGGTTTGGTTGCGGTCGACCGATGGAAACCGCAGACTAGACTACCGGAAGGGAAAAAAATACCTTCGCAGTGGCCGTTCGCTTCCGAACGAAATGTTACAACAGCTGAGAGGGAAAACACCATAACCAAATCGAAAAAATCTTAAGAAATGTCTGACAGACCGAATTAGGCCGAGGTTTAACCTCCGTTTCGAGCTCACCGCGGTTCCAAATCGGTCTGACCTCAGTTCAACCGCGATCAGACCGAAGTTTGACCTCGGTTAACCGCGGCCTTTGTTAGGTTATTTCGGGACAGTACTGTAGCTAAACCAAAACACCAAAACAGCACAAATTAAATCCACTGTCTTTCAACAATTCTTTTTAAACTTTAAGCGATGATTGGAGGCAACAACGTGTATCCAAACGTATAGCATATTTAAACGTACAGTGTGCTCATGTAGCATGTTTTACGAGCTAGTTATGACGCTGGGCACCGCGGTGCTTGACATGCATGCGCACTCAGTCTTAACACAGTCGGACATGAAAAAGAAAGGGAAAATTTTCCTCTTTGCCCGGGTGTCTTCGCACCCAAACGACGACCGTGGCTATACAAAAGTTATAACCTGGGAGTTTCAAATTATGCATCTTTTAATTTCATACGCAGAGGGGGACAATAAGTATATAGTAATTAAGTGACTACATTACCTGTTATTTAGTGCGCTTTATCCAACAACATGGAATCGGTTATAATTATACTAATTTTAATTGATTAATCTGTGACTTTTACTTATAATAAGGGCATCAAGCAGTTAGATGCATGTGAAATTGTTTTTGTTATTGCGCTTCATATGCATTACGTGGGAAGAGCTACTACGATGGCTAAACTGATCAGTTCACTTGTGGGTAGGTGCTTCTTTATATTGCCACTTTGGAATAAATCTAATTTGCTCGTGCATAGAAAACATCAACAGACTACAATCAAAAGCGAATAGACATGAAATAATGAACTGGAGTTATGGATTTGCATTAAATGTCTTTTTACTCCTTTTCATACCGAGGTGTTTGATGCGAGATAACTCGCGGATAATTATTTTTTTCTATCAACATATCAGCAAATAGACTTTTCGTCATAATTACATATACCCATATCTGCCCATCGCCGCATAAAACTATATTAAGGTCCATACTTCAGAGGCGCGCCACGTTGATAACAAAAATTAATGAATTATTAGCTATAATAATTATTTGACGGTGATCAATCGAAATTTTTTCCCCACAAATTATTATTCAAGTCGGTTGCATTATTATGCAAATTCAGACTGTCGGTCGACGTCTGAATTTACATTTCACACTGAATCAAACATCCATCGAAAAGATGATTAGGATTGTTGAAGTAACATGTGATGTTGCGCTTGCATGGTGCGGGAAATAAAGATGGTTCTTTTTTGAAACTACGATTTCAAAAGGGGAATGTCAAGATAACAGCTGAACTCTATCCACGCAATAAAACAGTTTCTTACCTATGGCTATGAAAATGAAAGTGTAGTCATGGAATTAAAATAATTATTTCCCTTGCATGCCTTACAATTTACATATGTATGTACTAGCTGTGTTAAGTTAAGTCCAGATGTTTATTATACAAAAAATTGAACTGGTAGAGTACGAGTGCCGCTAAGCAGTGCTTTCTAGTTAGTGCATCTTATCATTTTCTTAATTTTTGCAATTTCTGTTTTGTATATGCATGGGCAACATTATAATGCTGTGTGTTATTTTCATCTGATGAGGTGAGAGGAACAAGGGTGAATAATGTTAGCGAATCAGCGTATTTGTTTACGTTTTCAACCAACCAGAATGCGAGATGTAGACAAAATGTAAACAAAAGGAGTGGGAAAATAGCGCCTCATTCTACGTCCTCCGTGCCATTCGTTTTACAATTTTGTAGCCAAAAACTGAATAATTCCGATAGAGAAAGGCTTGCATGTTCTTTAATTTCCTCGTGGGGATTTTCAAATTTCGATCTACCCGCTAAATGTCGATGTTTGAAAAAACGGGTTTTCAAAATCTTGGGAAACTTGGCTTGTTAGATTTCGTAGCGTGATTACACACAAACAGTAAAACAATCTATTTTATCACATATCAATAGTTATTTTTCGTACCTATGTAAATCTTGTGGCCTCTAAAATTATAAAATATAATTTTTTTAGTAAAAGTATTACTATAAATTATACTGTTTACGCGTTTGAATCACTGGCTTGAACATAAATCTAAATATTTTGGGCTACGCGATGCAGCCGTTCGACTTGTTACACTTTTACATTATTACATATCGATTATGCAGGAAATCTCCCGCCTTTTTTCGTTGCAAAACTGGAGCCGAAATATCAACGGGTGTATAATAATCCCTTGCATGAAAAGTGGTCTAAATCAATTGTGGGAAAGGTCATAAACCTTAGAGCTCGTGGTTTCATTGGTATTTCAAACATTTTCGAACAATACATTGAGACGGAAATGGGGAAAAAAGCATCCGACAAAATCTCTGCTCAACATGCCTTCAACAATGTTTCAAAGAAAGATCAAGTTTACTAAACTGCTTCCAAGAGATGGATCTGAAGAGTTAAAAAACAAAGTAGAAAAAGAGGTATGAAATCCTTTAAGAACTTAAAAAACAAAATTATTTACCAATGGTATTGACAATTGTTTGTACCACTTGCATGTCATTAAGTTGACCTAGTTTTGAAATAGTTTATCCTGAAAAAATGCAGTAGTTGCATGGTTGCTAGGGTTAACAAATAAGAATAATCTAAATGCATTACATATAATACCTAATGCATTATGTAATAATACCTAATGCATTTATGTATTTAGAACCATGTAAGTAGCTAATTTTTAATAGCACAACTTCTTTAGTATAGCAGCCCATTGATCTGAAAAACATTCAACATGCATGTAAACAATTCCAGAGTAAGAGAATACCGCATCCACACTTGGACTGCCTAGTATAATGGAATAGGGAATGCTTTGACCTCTAAAATAATATTTCAGAGGGTTGCATGGTCAACACCTACTTAACTCATTAAGTACTTAATGTAAACATACCATACCATTTATATAGCTTGGGGTTTTGAAATATTCAGCATAGAGCATTGCAACAAGCGGTAAAAATGAGAGTCACCAAAACAATAGCCAGGAAAGTGCAAGTTCAACCACAGTCAGTGTAAGTTCACCATTCACCGCACAAGTGTCGGATGAGTCACAGCTGCCTCTCTCTCAATTGAGTGACGTGAGTACAGTAACATTGAGCCAGGACACTACAAATGAATTTAAAACTGTTGCTGAGAAGGAATGTCAAACAACAGATGGCGTGCTTCTTTCAAGTGATGAATTTGCAGAACTGTCACAGAAAGCATCATTCAGCCCAAATTTCCAAAATCCTCCAGAAAATAAAAGCTCTGGTTTTCAATTTTGTGCAGCCCGAAATGGATCCCCAAATGTTTGAACAAATGTGCAAAGTGCTTCAAACCTTTATCCCCGAGCCGGTGCGGAGCACCGTGCGAGGGTACTAATTCCGCCCGGGGATTAGGAATTACACCCGGGACCCGGGAGAACATAGCGGAATCCAAAGTCGCCTAAATTTGGACCATGGACGTTCAATGGTCATGGTACTTGTGCGCATGCGCAGAATGCGAACGCGTGTAGACTGGTAATCAACGAACGTTCTGATTAGCTAAAAAAGAAAGTTTGTATTTCAATGAAAACGTCAGCAATTTAACTGTCATTTCGTAAACATTTTTTAAAAGCGTTTCATAAACTTTGTGCAAAGAAAGTAAAACGAGAAGAAACAAGATATATGAAGCATGACAGATAGCAAAGATGAACGTGGATACAGTAAAAAAAGCAGTGTAAGAGGAATAATTCATAATCTGCAAGCTTATAAATGTTTTCAAAGACAAAGGGTACGTGTTTACTTTGTTTATTTCGTATTTGTTTCGCGGTAAGATATGAGCCGTATTTGTATACTTTTCAGCTTTGTATGCAGTTTATTTGTTAAATTTTCAGCTTTTTATGCAAACACATAAACCTGTGAAAGGCTCTTACACCTTTGCTTTAACTTTAAAAAGTGTTTTTCAAAGTGTAATTTGAATTTTGGTATCAAAAATACACACTATATTTATAAAGTATACTGAAACTTTTAGACGTCGGCGTCGACTGCAATTACAGAGTAAAATAACATTTGAAGTTTTTTCTTTGTCTGTGAAGATTTTGTACTGTTTTAATCGTTTGAAATCGATTTTAAACCGTTACTTAATTGCTGGCAAGGTATAATGCAGCAAAATTAAACGGGCAATATTTACACTAGCTTTATGATTATTTTTGTATTGAATGATGGAAACATTAGCTATAAGTATAA